GCCCGTCCCGCCACTCCCATCCGTCAACACGCACGTCTCGTCTTCTTTCCCGGGGATCAGCGTGACATCGCCTCTGTCGCCCACTCCGAGCTCGCCGGCCTCCCAGATCATCTCGCCTCCACCCCGGTCATCGTCTGCGGGGACGACGAGGACAATCACGCCAACTCCAAGATCGGCGCGAGCCAGCCCGGCGCCGCCTCCACCGCGCTCGAGGGATCGGGATCGACCGGGAAGTGCAGCGAGCCACCGGCCGCCACCTGTTGCGGTACCGAGGCGAGAGGGGATGTTTTGAGTGTTTACTATCTCGCTGTCTGAGTGTTTTCGCTTTAATTTATAACATGGATTTGGATTTTTTTTCCCTCTAACCATATCCGCGCGCCACTTTGAAGTTTTTTGAAGGACATTCGTGTGCGTCTCGAATGTGTCACTCCCGTGCTTTAAAGTTGGACTAGGCGTAACACAATATCAGCAATGCCCGGCTTTGTCTGAGCCGTGGTCACCCATAGCAGTAGGCAAAGGCACAATTCTCGGACATCGTCAATAGAATATTGGTGCGAAAGTGAACTCCTCTCTCAGCGGCAAAGCATTTCAGACAATCTTTTTGTTTCACTGACGAAAGCTGGCGGGCGTGGTTTCAAGGCCAAGATTCAATGCGAATTGTGCCGGGGGGATGTCAAGGTCAGCATATTCTCCCTCGCCATCGCCCTTCTTTCTCATGGACTCGGCTTTAGGGTGTGCCAGTGGCCAATGCAGTTTATCGCAGCTCCGGAGAAGATCATGCGCTCAAGCGTCACAGTATCATCCGCATTAGAGTACTGATAAGCAATATCGAAAGTCGAAAGTACTACTGTCTCCGAGGATGTCAGCCTATACTGCTTGCTATTGCTAACCCAGTCACAGCACCCAGGCCGCGACCACGCCAATGGCACTTAGCATTGCACCAGCACTGCCAAGGCGCGTTGCCCCTGCGTTGCTCTTTGAGGTCGTAGACGTTGCTGACGCAGACGAGCTGGTGGCCGTCGTCGAGCCAGATGACTGCGTCGTAGAAGTGCTAGTGCTCGTCTCGTTGGATGCCTTCGCGGCAGCCTGGAACTCAGCGAACGTTTCGTTGGAGGTGGGGTTGACGGCGAAGACCATTCCTTGTTGGCAGTGGCTGTGTTGTTCAAGGTACGCGAGTCACTACACCACAGTGTATGAAACATTCATGAGCGATAGACTCACCCAGGATGACGGCAGTAGAACCAAAGAGGTGTCGTGTCGTTGACCAGCACCTTATAGGTCGGCATCGTCGTCGTACTAGAGTTTGCTGGCAAAAACCCGGAGTCAAGCCCCGTCGATCCGTTGGCGAACGTAAGCTCGTCGCATGGCGTCTTGAAGGACGACTGGGTCACGGTGTGGTTTCCTGACACGAACTCGAACGTGAGGACATCACCCGCGGCGGCAGTGACGCTGGTTTGATGAACGATGTCAGCGTCGACGCCAAAACGGAAGGTGGTTAAGCTCACTTTGTGGGACTGTACGTGTTGGTATTGTTCGGGCCGACTTGGATCGTTATTTCGGCGCCCAGCGCAGCAATGGGAAGGACAGCCGCAAGGATGGCAGAGAAGAACATTTCGAGACGATAATAGATTAAGTTATGATGACTAAACCATTACAACGTAAGTACGTCATGCGCATGGGATATCAGTTGACTCACAGAACTAGTTCTCAATGTCAGGAAGCCGAAGCAAGGGGGGGTGAACAGAATCGAAGGAGTGAGCGGAGAGAGGGTTTTGGGCATTCCGATTGCTTGTGAATCCATTTATACTGATATTACACAGCAATTTGCCCACAACGCCAGATGGATTGGAGTCGCCAGCGCTGCCGTTGACAGATCTCAAATACTGACGAAGACAGTGCGCGCATCTTTGCCACAGCGTTGCATCACATCGCCTGTCTATCCTGTGCGAACTAGCCAGAAATAGGTGAGCCATGCGTGTTCTGTCGCGATTGCGTGATCATTTGTGGGCAATATTCATGCGATGAGAACGCTCTACAGATTGGTTCCCGTTTCCAGCGCGAGCTTAATTGCAAAAAAAAGCCTCGATTCCTTATGCGAGAAGGATGGCAGATGTGAGGAGGGTTGCTATTGTTTTACCAACCTGCAAGTTTCTACCACTTGCGATCCAGTAACGGAAGGAAAGGTGCGAGCTATTGCTTTCATACAATGACAATCGGTACTTTCTTGCTGTGCTAATCAGAACGACCGCGTGAGCTTTACATCCATCATTTGTGGGTCAAGCTAGAATTTGCAGAATTGGACATCCTTCGTGCACCGCAAGCTGGAGACCTTACGATACAGGTCGCCAGTGTCGGGATCGTAAGCTGTAACTAATCGAGTCAGCGGAAATTAGCTTCCCAGGACCTGGAGCGCTCTGAAACCACCTATCAATCAAAGTGCGATGTACGAAAGTCCTCGAGATTCCACTGAATTGTATCCTCTCCCGAAGCCACTCGTTGCTGTGCCAATACGCATCTGTCAACCATCCATCAGTCAGATATTACACAGGCCGTGAGATGAGCGCGTACTGATGGTTTCCGGTCACTGAAATATAGAGATGCGTAACGGGAAGTGCTGTGAGGTGCCACATCTTAGCGAGCGCACGACATCAGATTAGTGTGGCTGGTTGCGCGCCTCCGGATGTTTGTGAAGTAAGTTGGCTGTTTCATGGCAGCGCGAGAACGAAACGCGACCTCCTAGACCGCACGCATGAATCCATGAATTTCTCCTAGACGAGATATCGCACTCATCTTTGATTTTGATGACAGGGAATCCGAATCGACGTCGAGTTGACCTGGTCGAGACTCGGATGCGTGAACTTACGTACACGTGCGTGATGCGCTGGAATGCTCCATCCATCGTTAGGGCCTGCTGGTTACGCCCGCCCGATGAATCCTTTGAGGGTGTATCAACTCGCATGTTTTTGCAGTCCCTTTTCAGTAACCGCAATTTATTTCTCTAGTAGCTTCCTCCCTTGCAATGTGAAAGCTAAGTCACCATGGCCTCCCAGTTTCCTATGCTTTTGCAACTGTGTTATCCAACGACCGGCAATGAGACGCCTGCTGCGCTTTTCATTCTGCTATTGTGGTCTTGTTGGCCAGTGAGAGGGGCAAGCCCCCGCCGGGAGATCGCTAATTCGCTGTTGTGGTCTTGTTGGCCAGCGGTCAATGACATTATTGTCGGCAAGGGCGGGCAACGACCACTGTACTACTGGGTACCCAGTCACATAACTACGGGACCCTCCAGAGCCTTACCAGTGAGAACAATGTTCCGTCTCTCAGTACACTCTGCAAATCGAGTTCCCCATACGCATGGATCCACCGAAGGTATGAAGATGTTTATGCATTCATACGCGGTTGAAGGTATGAGCTGCAGCGAACGGTACGTCTTCGCTCGCACAAGTTCTCTTTGAGGTCAAAGAGAACTAACTTGTGCGATTGTGAATCGACTAACTATTCACGCACACAAATTCAGGTATCACTGGCGACCATGCGCATTTCATTCATTTGCAGGATTTTCGGTAAGGACAGTAAGCAATACGATGGATGGTGTGGACATATGCTCTACAGTGCTTGCTGGTTCTACTTACGTTCCGTACTATTACATGATGAATCGTCTGTGCGACAAGAGAAAATTCATGGCCTTTGAGGGTACGATGCACGACCCCTGGTGGACAACGGACGAAATGGAAAGTTATGAATACGGAGCAGTAAACAGAGTCCGTTGTAAATGCGAAGAGAAAGATCATGCGAACACCGAGTCCATGATGCGTGTGCAGAGGTGGTTTGTAGGGACAGTGGCCAGAGTCGATATCGATAATTTACTTGAGCTTGCATTGCCGACTTGCGGCACGGGAAGGAAATGCTGAGGAGGTACCGGTCTTGATACGTTTAACTTGATGATGCGAGAGATGAGCGACAATAATTTGAGCGTGATTGCAGCGGAAGATGAATATGTGATTATCCGAATTTTCAAGGAGATGATGTACTGCATGTTGATGACCGTTGATTCGTGCGTGAGATGCCGCTGGATATATGTCCGAAAGAATATTGGTGAGAGTCGGCCGGACAACATCATGCGCTTTCAATAACCGTAGTATGCGCGCTGTCAGGGCATCAAAATGCGGCATCGCGGGATAAGTATAGACTACGAACCATCCTGTCGCTGGATTTCAAGAAAGGTCAGTGAATCTACGAAGCAGACAGCATAGCGTTTATACTCACAAGAGCCAGATGACTTTTGATCCAGTCTTGCAACCGCGAAGTGTGACGATATGGCCGCGGATAGAATCGTATAGGAACGCACGCTGATCCTTGTCGGCCTGGAGTAGCAAATGAGATCAGATAGCGTAGGAAATCCCTAGCTCAGACGTACGTTGGGTAGGACGCTTGCGATGAGCTGACTACCGGTTACAGACAAAGCCAGATCAACTATCGTGGCCCTTCGACCGCTGAAGAATCAAGCATGAGAGGGACACATTATATAAGATCGTCCGCTATATGCGCTTACCCTTTCGCCGGCTCACACATGCGTTTGATGATCTTGTCAAGAGTCTCCTTGCCTCCCTCTTTAAGAGCTTTCGTCACCGACTTGACGCCCTGTTCATTCGTGGCATACTCGAGCAAGCCTGCAAGAAGGTGCTCGAGTGCCATGTCTTGATGCTTTTTGGAACCGTGCTCGAGAACTACAATTGCGATTAGTGAAGGACTATGAAAGTATGTCGGAAAGACGGACTATGCTGGATGCAGTAGGATCCCCACTGGCTCTTCGCCACTTCACTGAAGACCGCAGAGCCTTGGTTGAGCAGCTCGTCTACGATGCCATCCTTAGCAGACTCTTCCAGATTCTCGAATGCATGCTGAAAACTATTCATCAGTGCAAGTTCGTATGGAGGTAGAGAGAGGCGTACCTGAACGACGAGCGAGCCTGTCTCGTGACACGCCAAAGCAGCCCATTTGCCCTTCAGAGACTTGTTGACGCTGCCATTGCCGATATATCAGCGCGACGTGTAAGCTAGAACGACCGAAAGGACATACTATGCGAAGATAGGGGGAGCCGGCGGCGTCCAGGTCAACTCCATGATCTGCCCTGCACATTAATACGAGGCGAGAGGAGATTATGTAGCGCCGTACCTTGCTCCAAACGTGAGAGGCATGCTTGTTCACCAGCGTTTGAGCGGGATCACCCAGCAAAAGCTCGGAGACAATCAGAAGCCTGATGTCTTCTTCGCAGTCCAAAGCTTTTTGCAGAACATGGCAACCGTAGCAATTGGTAGCAAGCTCAACGATGCGACCCCTGCACGTTAAAGTATAAGCGCTTACACCGGGGGAGATGAAGAGAAGCCAATACCTCATGCAGTTCACAATCTTACGTCTTTCTTCGGGACTGGCGGTCGCTTCAAGACACCGCTGGACGGCCCAGTTTCCAAAGCTGCAGAGGAATAGCGTGAGACAGGTCGCAGACAAGACCGTGCGAAGGAGCGGCATACCGGTGAGCCATCATCTCGAAACCTTTCGCGCATATAGCGTCTACAATCTTGGCACGCTCGTCGCTGTCGGCAACCTTGAGTTTTTGTTGAAGAAATATAGACGCTTGTTGGTCCGAGGACTTGATGATGCGAGCCACGAAGAGATGATACGGCGGCGTCGACGAAGGGTGAAGCAGAGACAGGAAGTTGATGGGCTGCGGTAGGAACAAACATATAGTCAGACACGCTCCTCCACTGCGCATATAGTCAACGTACCTCGTGGGAATGCGAATGACTGCTTGAATGGGATGTCATATGGCTAGGTTGACGTGAGTGCGCTACAGACTCGTTCGTGAACGCGCTCGAAGAGAAGTCTGCTACGGTCCTATCCTCTATCTGTACCCAGTCAGAGGATGTACGAACGCGCTGTTGGGTCCAAGAGTTCTGAGCTTGTGGAGCATTTTCAACGCGAGGCTGGACAAGCTGCGAGTGAGAGAACGGGTGGAAGAAAGCCTGGGAGCCCGACGTCGATGAGGACACCTCAGATAACGGTTCAAAGAAGGGAAGGCCGCTCGCCTCTCGTCGAGGAGGGGGGACATTGTGCGACGGGCGGATGATGGTCGGTATAGTCTGCGATCCGAGTACATCGTTATATCTGTATGGGACAGTCGTCTCATAGAGACGATCGTTCTGTTGCTCGTGGATTATTCCAAGCCCATACGTTGAATTCGACTTGAGGTCGAACGTTTTGGCAGGAGAGAGGTCGGTGGGAGTGAGGAGAGCAGAGTTGTTGGAAACGGGCGATAAATCAGGAGACGTCTGCAAAGACTGAGCGTCTCCGGACTGAGCAATGCAAGGCACGGGGGAATGAAGGTTCAGAGTACGCAATAACTGCTCGACGTGCTGCAATGACCGTTAGAAAGGACGCATATATTGACCTAAAAAGAGACTTACGACGTCCTCGAAGGTGGGAGAGCCCTTCTTGCGACCGTCGCCGATGGCCCCGACATTCTTCTTGTGGAGGTAGCCGTTCAAGCCGACAGGACCAAAAACATCCTCACAGCTGTTATTACCGGTGGGGAAAGAGCTAACACGACGTGGATCCGGCCGCGCAGGGTTGTTTCCACCGTTGACACGAGCGAACGAGTCGATGGCTTTTGACCAGGCCGTCTCGGACGGCTGCGGCTGAGGCGCCCAGATGGAGGAGGCCATGGAGCGTTGCTGAGGTTGAATGTCGAAGAAAGGGTCGAAGGGCTGAGCCGAGGCAGTGTGTTCCATGACGAGGGCGGTGGTGGTGATGGTGAATAGAGGAGACGAGTTGGGGGTGGGAGGAGAGTTGAACATGGGTGATCGGGCATTTATAGGCGCGGTGGCTGCTTGACAAGCGGTAACGTGGCGGAGACGTTTCTGGGATAGAATTTTCAACTTGAATGTCCATCTATGGAAGTGGGTTTACCTGGAATGGGAACTTCTCGGGCCTCCCACGCTCGATGCATCGGGGTGGCCAAACACATGAATCCATCACGCGTCTATCAATCGGAATCCCTTCTTCAGTCACATTAGCCAACAAAGAAGCAGCCTTGCGGATCCCTTCCATGCGCACGTCGGTTCGAGGAAGTATCCACGTCCCGTACATGTGCGCCGCGGGCCCGGAGACCCACCCGCACGCTGATGCTGTGCTCCCAGAGAGTCTTGGGGCTTGTACGCCGGGAGCGCATTCTCCATTATGTGCGTCTGAGAGATGCATGATCGTCGTCCAGGAGGCGGGGTAGAGAGGCATAATGGCGGAAATTCGTGTGACATGGACCAAATTCATCAACAGCCTAGTGACAGAAGCTCCCGCATCTGACAGCCATACATGTCTTCCACGTGAGGAGGACAGGTCCCATAGCCAATGCCGTCACGGCTTGCATGCCGACGGCCGCTGTGGGCCAAGTCAGTCGTCATTAATTGCAGCGAAGGAGTCTCAGACCTCCTCCAGAACAGTGTGAAGGGGGGTTGATGGTCGATTACGTCGGCATCGATAGTGATCAAAGACGTAGACGATCCTCGCACTTGTCGGCGGCAGCGTTTGACGACAGGAGCTCTTTTACCTACGGCCACAGCATGTCCGAGGAGACGCTGCGAGTACTGGCAAACGGCCTGACAGGCTCGTACGACTCTGTAGTCCTGGGTCTCATCCACTCTGCCATTCTGCACTTGAAGCGAGAACGCAGTAACGCCAGCGCCAGAGACGGACCATTCCTCGGTATTGGTGTCCTCATCTACGTGCACACGAGCAATGAGGCGAGTCCACATTAGCTACTCTGCTGACGGGTGTCCGTGCGCGAAGTTGATGCGGACGCCATCAGGCTACTCACCTCCGCTAATCGATACAGGCAAGTCTTCTTACGCACACGCGCCGAAGTACCTGCCAATCAACCAAACGTGAGCAAATACAATTAATCAATAAACGGCATATGATGCAACCGAATAGGGATTTGACTGCACGGACTTCAGGGTGTTATCGGTCCTTGCAGGGAAGCCTTGTACGTTGTTGAGAGAGCATGGCGCACGAGAACGAGTCGACGACAATTGTTGCATTGCACTATACAAGACCTGCTGGAACTTCTGCCGTAATCATACATTGCCTTCTACTAAATAAGAGCTAATAGCATATCCTCCACGGGGGTAACCCAATAAGCATCACAAGCACAGCAATTCGACAGCAACGGAAAGATCGCGTACTATATACCAGCACCGCTGGTAGATCGCATCCACGATATCGCACCGGGGGCATATTGTCCGATTACTCTCCCCCGCCGGCGAGCTCCAATATGAGCCTGCAAGCGACGTCCATGAACACGAACGGGGAGACAATCTCGTCTTCCCTGGTGGTGAACTCCTTGGTGGAGCGACTGGACTCCAACGATGCTGTGTCCGAGACGACTGATTCGGAATGCGCCGGGTCGAACTTACCCGCCACAGGCTCTGTTGATGCCTTGTACGTCTTCTTATGGTGAAAATCGACGAGGTAATTGATCGAATCGACCATATAGAGCTGAAGGTTCATGAGTACCTAAACATGGAAATTCATCAAATATCAGTTACAGCGCCTGTGGCGGAAGCGAAGAACACAGATACATACCACCACATCCTGTACCCTCGCTCGCGTCTCGATAAAATAGATCGACGACGCCGCACGGAAGTCCACATTTGCGGGAGTGTCATACTCGGGGGCACGGGAAATCTTCGCTTTCTCGCCGCTCACACTCCTCACTCCACCGAGTCCACCGAGATCCTTCTTCGACTTCCATTCCATGCCCAGCGACTTCAATGTTCTATAGATTTCAAGCATGACCTCCATCGGCGGCGACCTGCTGCGGATGCCGAAGTGCCATTTCGTTCTCTGCTTCTTCTCCTTCACCGGCCATGACCGCTTCGCACTTGCATATGATGCAAGATGATGTTGCTCGGGCAGTTGCTCCGGAAGCGATGAGTTGAGCACAGCGAAGTTATTACTTTCGGCCTCATTCTGAGGGGTAGAGAAGTCAAGCCCGTCGTCAAGGTCGTCCTCGTCGTACCCGCTGAATTCCGACTCAAACGGGTTCTCCTCGAGCTCTGCTGGTGACAAGGCATTCGGTGACAGAGGATTGCGAGGCTGAAGGGGGAGGAGTTTAGGATACAGTCTAAGATGGCGAATGTAGCACCTACATCTCTTACAGCCAGCTGCGCATCCCGCTCCTGCTCTTCAAATTCGGCCACTATAGCGTTATGAGATGGTGCTGCGAGTTTCTAAAGAGATCTCTCAACTCACAGTCCCTTCCCAACCTCCGCTTATCTCTCAGGAGCATGTAGGCGACCTTCACCGCATTGCCTTGAGGCCCGTCGTCTCGCCGTAATGACTCCCACACATCCTCCTTATCTACACCCTCCATCCGAGCAGCAAGCTCGTCCACCACGTCTTCCTCAATGCGGCCCAGCCCCTCAATGATCTCGAAGTCGACGACCTTCGGCGGAGGAGTAACGAGCGCAGACAGTGTGCCCAGCACGGGATCCGGCCGAGGCAGGGGATGTAGATAGCGAGGAAGATCGGTAGTGAAGAAAGGATGCTGCAGGATCTCGGGTATCGTTATGCGCTTGACCGGATCGACCGCAAGCATGCCATTGATGAGACTGCGAGCATCAGGGGTAAGGTATGACGGCAGATGGTACACGCCCTCTGAGACGATGTGAGAGGCGAATGGAGTGGATGAGAGCCATAGACTTACGGCTGATCTTCGTGAACAACGTCTGCACGTCCTCGTCCTCGAACGGTAAACGCCCACAGAGCATCACGTACAGTATCACTCCGCAGCTCCAGACATCAATCTCGGGCCCAGTGTACAGCCCGCCCCTGATGACCTCCGGCGCCGCATAGTTCGGACTGCCACAGCTTGTCTTGAGGAAATCGCCGTCCTTGATCTCGTTTGAGAGACCGAAGTCGGCAATCTTGACGTTGAGGTCAGCGTCCAAAAGCACATTCTCCGGCTTCAGGTCTCGGTGAACAATCTTGAGGCGGTGACTGTACTCGATGCCAGATATTAGTTGCTGGAAGAACCGTCGTGCCTGGGGCTCCTCCATGCGCCCGTTGTCGACGATGTAATTGAACAGCTCGCCGCCGGCATATTCGAGCACGATGATGATGTCCGTCGGCGTCGAAATGACCTCGTATCTACCAGAGATGGGTTAGCATCGTGAACAAGATCCGAGGGGGGTTGATAGTGATCAGCCATACAGTTTGATGATATGAGGATGTCTGAGCGCCCGCATGTACTCGACTTCACGCTGCACTCTCGTCTTCGTCTTGGTCGCAGCGATGACCTGCTTTGAGATGAACTTCATGGCGACCTTGTGGCCGGTGATGGTGTGTACCGCCACTGCATTCATCACACTGTGAGACGTCACTCAATCGACTCGCATAGCCCACTCACTCTTCACCTTGCCAAACGTGCCCTCTGCAATCTCCTCGACGACCGTATACTCTCCCAACTTCGACGCTGGGAACGTCTGTTTGATTATCTCTGTCATGGCAGCCAGCTGTGTTGTAGATGAAGGGAAACAGTACGGGAGCAATCCCTGGTCGGCGCGGGGTAAGGGTGACAGCCAGTGGTGACAGCCAGTGGCAGGCGACCAATTCTAGAGGCAATCCATTCAGCCGGGTTTGTCAGCGATCAGGCGGGATTGCCCGGAAAGACAATTCGTCGGGAACAACTGTCCATGTGTTAACGGCGGGGAACGCGCTCCTCACGTTCGTAATCACTTGGTGGCATATGCTGCCCTTGTATTCGAGAAAGTTTTGTTCAAAAGACAGTGCACAGAAGACATCTGCATTATAGATCCTACAACTTAACGTACAGTCATAAATTGTGCAGCCTACGTTTGACTAGAAATGAGAGCCAACGAGCACTTCTTGGAGTAGATGTACGTCTCAAAACTACGAGAACAGCAAGGAGATGCCTCAAAGGCATAGACTGCGCTCAACTCTACTGAGACTGAATGAATCCAAGACTCTGCGACCCACCTGACTTCAAGACGAAGCCAGGTGGCAAAGCCGTCAGATCAAGTCAATCTTCCACGACCGTAACAGACACAACACGTAGAAACGATTGTGAAGGGCCTTGACTTGGTACGTGGGTGGCTGAACTCGCCGGGCGTGCGCCGTTCGCCTCTCCTAGAATGCTCAATACGTGGAATTCATGCCGGAAACCGCAAGGGGCGTGTATCCAGCGTCACGGCTGACGAATCTATGGATTGTACATGCCAGCGTAATTTGAGAAAATACCAGCAATGTCTCGGGGGAAAGCACTCCGATTCAATTGGAGGTGCTATCCATGTTTGCGCCAGAGTCGTCAAACCAGATGTAAATTGTATATTGCAACACTGTCAATCGAAGTCTCAACCGTCATAGAAAAGTAGTCTTTGCATTAGATCGACATCGCATCATTGAGGAAGAAGCCAGGTTGCATTCAGAGATCATCGCAGAGCAGGCAGAACAAGTCCGGAGGGGACGAGGAAGTTGAACGCCGAACGTCGAAGCAAAAAAGAAACTGTAATAGCTCCTGAGGTAAGCAGTTCTCACGACTTCTAACCGCCACTATCGAGCGCCTACACGTAGGCGATTCCAGCGGCCCCGACATCCCTTGGACTCGCCCCTTGGTCTGGCAAATTGCTTCGCTGGAATTCTAAGATACTCGCGCAAGAATGAACGATGTCGATGGTCATTAATTAACGCTGATGATGTCTTTCTCCGAGACCTTATGGAATCCTACCTCTGTCGATCGTGGTGGACGTGGTCTGTCGGAGGAAGAGTAGTTTAGGAAGCATCGAGCGACTCTGAAGCTTGAAGGCTACTGCTCAGTGACGGTGCCTTGCTCTGGATCCCTTCTTCGCTGCTTTCAGTGATGGTGGTTGTTTGGATGCCTCCACCCTTGGAACAGTTCGATTCGAGGTGGAACAACCGATCCGCAAACCTCGTCTTTGTCAATTTCGCTTGGTGGAACATTCCTGCACCCTCTAAGGAATGCGGGGTCTCGTGAGCCATGCTGCTAGCCAAACATTTCCGATGACGGGCACTTGCGGCGACTTCGAACGGCATTCATCGAAGTATTGGTGTACGTTCTCGTGCTGAACCGTGCGCTTACGCTAGTTCTCGCCTTCGGGCTCCGTGTTCCTGCCGTGATGCACTACCTTGTATCATTCACATTACCAGCATGTTATCAAGACACTCGTCTCGAAGAGGCGGCCATGTAGCCGGTCTCATCAAGAATTCTTCTTGGCCGGCATGATGCGAGAAGCAGGCCAAGCAGCCCTGGCTGTGTGCTGACTGGAGTGCCACGGACGTTCTAACTGGACGTAAGTCATAGGCTCAAAAATTCACCCGTTTCCTACTCATGATTACTGATGGTAATTACATCAACGCAAGTGATATCCGGTCAGCTTAGTGATCAGAAACATAATCCGACCCCTACAACTTCGTGAAGGACAACACGCTTGCTCTGAGCAAACAAATATATGAAGCGCTCGATTGGCCCGGCAGTTGGCGCAGAATTTGTAGGCCTTCTCGTCACTTCAGTCTTCGCGCAACTTGCCACTCCGTGCACAGTACATATACGCTACGATATCCCCACAAGGCCGAAACATGCTGTGTTATGTTTTCGCTGGGTATATATGATGGCGACGATCAGCGCTACGCTGCCGTCACCACAACACTTCTTCGCCTCCGCACTTGTCGACTCTCTCACCCTTCATGATGAACGCAATAGATTTCTTGTCAACCGCGTTTTCGAAGTCGCTTTTCATGTCGCCGGTGGCCGCAATGATTTCAGCCGCGAAACCCGCCATATGGCGCCGAAAGGCACCTCCTTGTCGCCGACCACTCTTCCTTATTCTTGTAGGGACTCGACGTTGTCCAAGCGTTCGGCTCCAGCTTTGCCCTCCCAGGCCATGCTCCCAATGCGCTCCCAGCCGCTCAACGTCCCCCATTCGCCAGTCGTTCCCCCAGCCGCACCGTAAGCTTCATCTCCTGAGCGTTCTCGCCGTGGCTGAGCATTTCCGTATCTCCGCCTCACGCGATGTCCTCTACGCCCCTCTGGATTGCCTACCGGAAGACCCGCAGGCAGTTTTCCACTTATGCGGCTGTGCCTCGGCCATGGCATGGTAGGCTGCGAGCGTCGGCACTCAGAAGGTCTTGATCACCGGCATGTTCCCATTGTACACTTTCAAATGATCGGAGTCTTCACCATCGAAGAGCATGCTGTAACCGCGCTCGACTGTGTGAAATCCCGACCCGCTGGCGACATTGGCGCCGTTGACGTTCCAGTGAGCAGTGCGCAGCGGCCTTTACTCCGAGCTGGTGTGAGGTTGCGATGATCGCATCGAGCTGTTTTCGCTTGAGGCTAGCGATATTCGCGGATGTCGACCCGCCATCATGCGCTGGTGTAGACGATAGTTTATGTTGGGGTTATTCATCAATACGTCGACGTCATGCAGGAGTGCACGGTTAACCGGCATATACCTGGAAAAGCGGAGACGGAAAATTGCAGGTATGAACGCCGACTTGGCGGTTTGTGACACCCACTTGATCCAGTCAGCTGCGCCGCCAATTTGCCGACGAACGGCCTTGATGCGTTCGACCTCTCCGTCGATGACCTCGGCAGCCGTTATTCCCTCAACGCTGCCAGGCTCTAAGTGAGTCCTGCTTTTGGGACATGGAAACGGACGACGCCAATCTACGCATCTGAGAAGCTACGGATACTCCAGCCAACCGGATGTGTTCGTAGTCGCAAGGGCTCTGTTGGCCAGAAGCAGCGAGGTTTGGGATCACTGGATTTGGGCCGGACATTGGTTTGCGCATCTGGATGTCAGCTTCATCGAGTCCTTCGGTGCCTAAGTTTCTGTGATCATGAATCCGCAAGACTTGCGTTGCGTCTCCTGGTTTCCCTTAACGTACTGCAGTACAAGCCGCCATCAGAGTGCGCCTTGCATGCACGATGCAGGGTCCGTCGTAAAATTCACTCTATGAAGCTCTTCCCGATGACCTGATCCTCTCAACAAGCGTCCGAATAGACGTGCAAGAGCAATGTATCCAGGAGGACGGATCATAATATACTCTTGCCATGCCAGCTGCACCCACGATGTATATCTGCGTCCACAGACCCTGTCAACGCCGTGGTGCCTGTTGGTGCACCACTTTGCGCTCGCGAAGTCAACGTTCTGCAAATTCGCCTCCTAGAACGGCCTGGCATCGAGCACGAGCACGAGCCCCGACTCCTGTGACATGGTGAGCATCCTGCTGTCCAGTGGCTCTAGCGTCACGCGTGTGCGGATCGAAGATCTTCCCCGCATGGATTTTCATTACGTGCGAAATACTGTATTTGGACGCAGCCTCATGCATTTCCCGCACGCGTGGATGTCCGATCAGGTACTGGCTGCTGGTATATTTAGGATGGTCGAGCCACAGGGGACTGGGTCGACCTCAGTGAGTCATGGCACTCTGATAACGGCCTCAATACAAGTCATCGCAAAATGCACGCTCTTCACAAGGGAATAGCCGAGAGAGCATATTCCTGAGACAGTGTTCGATAGACTTATCGAACGGCAGGGGTCAGCGGGGCGGCCAGCGAACGGAGTCCAGAACCGGACGCGGTCACGTGGGCGTGTCTCATCTCATCTGGATTCTGCAGCCACCCGTCTTATGTCCTTTGGCGAGCCAAGCAAAGGGTGCAGGGACGCGGAGCGTCCGCACAGCGGTACGTTTGCTCGGAAGAGGAGGATCAGGCTATGCTTGTGCGCAGGTATTGGCTTCAAAAAAGGGGGAGACTGCGTGTGATAGGATGACCAAGTTGGGTTACGTGGTCCCAGCTGTGGATGGACCCAAAAATGCTCCGCAGAGGGAGTAAGTTGGGAGAGAATATCGTCTGCCTGCGCTAACGAAAAATGTTTTCAGGAACATCGAGCTTTCATCGACATCAGTTATGAATGCAATTGAATAATATGGTCGCACAACCTTCACTACCAACGCCGAATACTCAAGCTCAACTTTATGAAGTTACAGATCATATGAACGTTTAATACGAAGGAGGTAACGTCAGCTGTGCAGGCGACGCAGCGTCTTTTAGTTCGTATATGGCAAGTAGGTTTCCTTTCTGGTCCTCTCTCGCACCACTATTGGCAGCAGCCCCCTTCGATGATCACTTCATTAGTTTACGTTCTGTCACTCAACGTTCTGCCCCGATCGCGCCCGCTGCCTCCTACATGTATATAAAGGGCCCACCTCCCCGAAGTAGACTACTTTGTTGGACCCCCCCCCCCCCCCCCCCCCCCCCCCTCCTTCGCTCCCTCCCTTGCAATCAAGCGCCGATCCTCGGTACGCTGTGCTTGCGCTACGAACTCACCGATATGAGGCGACCATGGTTGATGATAGCTATCTGTCTGCCGACCCATGTCGAGTTTTGTGCAGCGCTCAGTCTCTGTAGGTCATCTCAGCAACTCTCAGTGTCTACTCCATTGAAGGCTAAGTTATTAAGATGACATGTGCAACACATCATAACTATCACTATGGAGTCATTGAGATATCCAGGACGTACATTAGCTAGAATCATACAGCGCAAGACGAAGAAATGAAGTTGACGAGAAGACATGAGACACAGAGGGACGTGAGTAGAGTTCTAGTCCATCTAAAGGTATGACTAGGAGATGAAAGATAGCAATACAGACGGGCACCTATACACGCAGGAGCAAGGACAATGTTCATGAGCAATGCAGACGACACAAATACACTGGCCAAATCACACCACACCAATCGCGCCTAGCAAGAATATCATACACTCGCCAGTCCCGCCTCGTGCTCCATTATCCAACCCGGTTGACCGCAAATGGGCCCTCCAGCGAAATCGTTCGCGGGTTGTCCGTTTTGTGCCGCCACGAGCCCACGAAATTCGAGCTCCCGACGAGGTAACCCCGGAAGATGAACACACCCAGGTTCTGATCCTCCGCAGGCACACGCAAGAGCACAATCAAACCATCCCACCGCCGCACACGCCCGTAGAAACGGTAGTGGTTCCATGCCTGGCCATGGTGCGGGAGGGTCTGATGGAGATAAGGAAGGAGAAAATGCAAGAGGGTAAGCAGTAGCAGTATGGCGACAGTCTGAGAGACGCACCTCACCGGTAATAATGATATCACACACTCCATTGCATGTATTCACAATTACCTCCTCACCCTCCTCGCCGCCCTCCACGCTCTCCGCGTATTCGTGTTGCTGCTTTTGCTTGCTCTCATCGTCGCCGCTGCCGCCGCTCTCATCCTCTTCATCACTGTCCTCATCGTCCTCGAGCATCATGTCCTCCAAGAACACATCAACATCCCTCCCCAGCGCAGCCGTCGCTGCCGCCCACGCATGAGTGACCTGGACGTTCTCCGCGCTCGTGCGGACGCCCGAAGGCCCTGGCGAGCTCCGTTGCGACTGCGCCGCGAACCCTGCCGTCGGCTGCGGCCGCTGCGTCGTCGTTCTGTTATCCCCTTCTGCATCCAGCCCACCCTCTCGCTCACTCTCTATCGCCGCTGCCGCAGTGATCGCCTTCACCCGCTCTCTCAACTCCCACTCCTGCATTTCCTTGGAGTGTCTGCACTGCGTACATGTCTCGGGACTATGCGAGTTCGGCCTGCCTTCGACCCACGTCTCGTACCGGCTTATCCTATTCAGGGCTTCGTCCTCCACGCGCACGCGCCCGGCCGCTTCGCGGAATGTCACCGTGGGGAAGTACGCGTTCCCCACGCCGTCGTCGTATTCGATGTGCGTCCCGCCTGCGCGCACGGGATGCTCCGGATTGATACAATGGTGCTCGCGCAGGTTCATCCACAGGGTCGACGTATAGAGTCGTGGGTCCTGCGAAGAGAACGTGTTCGGCAGGCTCGTGGACGTCACCAATGCCATGTACTGCTGGAAGTCGGGCACCTAGACATTCCAGGCTCAATAAGAGCATTGAAAGACGCAACAATACGTACCAGGAGACGACCGTGCCAGAGTCCGGTGAGCGTGCCGTGCGTGTATACGGGCCCTTTTAGAGGTGGAATGCCCCACGGGTCAATGCATCCCGTGAGCCGATGCCAGTCGTTGTCCCACTGCGCACTCAGTGCCTTCAAGTTTCTCCGCCAGACGCCGTCGTCCTCCAACGCGCCCTCCACATTGTTTAGCTTGCTCCGCCAGTTCCACTCTCCGCGCTCAGTGAGCCACACCGCCTTGTGCGCGTTAGCCTCATCAACATCCGCGCACGTCGGGCCGATCGTCGTCCACCCGATTTCGATCGCATGCTGGCGGTCGCGCGGGGCGTTGGGGAGGTAAGGCAAAGGACGTTCCTGGAGGGTCATGAAGAGGAGCTTCGCGCCCTGAGCAATGAGTGGTGCGGAAATTTTCAGTCCGAGGCCGAAGTGCGGGAAGCTCTCCTCCAGCTGGCTAGGCTGACGATAGAGGGGATAGAAGCCGTGCGGGGTCATGAGAGTGTAGGGAAAATCATCCTGCAGCTCTTCTGGGAGAGGGAAGTCGAAATGATTATCGGGCGCATGGAAGGACGGGTATCGGAGAGCGGTGAGGACATATGGACGGATGAGGTCGATGATCTGCTGGCGCTTCGGGCCAGGCATGGATGCAAGCTTGTCTGCACCAAACATGGTCCATCTCAATATCCAAACACAGAAAGCTGAGACGTACCTGCATCCTGTCTGAACCAGAAGATCCAGATAGCCAACGAGTTAATGGTGCTCTCCGCAGGCCACCCGTTGCTGTACTCCCTCCTCTCCCAGAGCCTGGTGCAGATGAAGTTATCGACGAGATTATCGATGCCGCACCATTCGAGCTGATGCTGGTTCTTGCCGTCGTTCTCCATGCACATGATGAATGCGGTCCAGAGGTCATCTTCGAGATGTGGGGAACAGATGTCTCCCTTGCGGATGCGCGTCAACATGCGCGAAACCTTCTTGAGCTGGAGAGCGAGGTTCTTGGAACGCATTGCGCGGGGGCCCATGCGCCGTAAGGCGGCGCGCGTATCGAACTTGCAGCGGAAGATGCGCGCGTAGAGATGAGGAGCATTCTGGAAGCAGAGGGAGTTATAGACATGGCGGCAGGTGAGAAGGAGCGGGGGTAGTTCTGAGGGAGGACCGAGGGGATCGAGGAGTGTGAGCTCGAGGGCAATGAGGAAGAGGACGTCGACGGGGATGGCACAGAAGATCGAGGAGTGGAGGGGCATGGCGGGCACGGGAGGGGCGGGGACTGCGAGACCCGGACATGGTGGCGCAGCTGGGGCTTTATAGAGGTGTTGGACGCGACGGCGCCTGTGTGCGAGAACGAGCGAAGGCGGAGAGGTGTGACACGGAGATACTGGCCATCGCCTGTCGCCGTTGCATGTATCCAGTCCCGATCTCGCTCTCCTGATCGGCCAAGCGATCTCTTGGGCGCTATCCCTTTGTGGAACGGGCTCTTCGCCGTTCGGGCTTTGGCCGGCCAACCACCCATTCCGTCCTTCCCTCAGCACTCGCGGGAGAACATCGTCTCCTCTCTCCTGCTCCCCATCTCCTCTCTGTGCCGTAAGTCATCACCGTTCTCTGTCGCAGGATTATATCCGACTCATCCGCTCCAGTCGTGACCTCTCTCCGCCGGACGACTCCTGCGTCATCTTTCCGTGTTTCTCTCCGCGAGTATCCTCTTCGGGCCACTCGATTCCCTCTCTCGTCTCCGCCTGCCCCCATGCGCGGACCCCATGTCGCTTGCCCTCTCCTTCTGTCTTCCACGCTTGTCATGGTGCCCTCCCGTCCTCTCCTCCTTCCTCCCGCCTTCCTCAGCCTCCCTCTCTCGCTCATTCACTCCTTCTCAGACCAACCTCCATATGTATCTGCATGCCCGGCAGCAAGGGCGCCTTTGCCTTCGTTCGTTCCTGTATTCACGCATTCGGCGAGGCCAATAGCGAGCTGTGCGTGCTGTTACTCCATAAACTTTCGCACGTGCACTTCCGTCCCATGTCGTCTGGTATCTTCTCGTGCCCATATAAGTACGACGCGAAGTACAGACTCCGTCGGCAGTGCATCCGTCGCCGCGCTGCCAGTGCTCGTCTGAATTACTCCTCGTGTCGTATGCCGCCCACAGGCCATCCCATTGTACGTACACATCGACACACTGTCTCACGCGTACTCCCTTTCCGGCGCGCTTGCGCTACTTCCTCGCACCACCCCACATCATGTCTCTTTACGCTGCACCCGTTCCGCCGTCGTCTCCTCTCGAACACCCTTATCATCCTTTACGTATTGTCTGCCATCTGACTCGTTGCCCTGCCTTCTGCACCTCGCCACGCAAACGTGCAACCGCTGCGCGGCCAATCCCTGTGGCATCATCCCACCTAGTATCGACCCCCAGGATCCCGATCTGGCCAGCATGCAGGCATGCATGCCGTAATGGATGTGATGCATGATGGGCTTTCGTATCGCTTTCTCGTTCGCCCGTGGCGAGATCTTCATGGATCTCGTTCATTGCATCTTCACTTCATTCTGTGTACAATACTCGCCTGCAAACAACTCATAGTCATCCGCGGCCGTCGCGGTCGCGTCCGCGTTTTCACACATAAGGGTCCCGTGAGCATCTCGAACCTATGATGCGATACGGTACCTGCGGCGGACTCCGTACCGGGTGCAATGGTGGTTGGGTTCAAGTATGTTCCGTATTACTGTGCACGTCTTCGCGACGATTGTGTAGCTGCATACCCGCAGCTGCACTGCGCATTTGCAAATAGCAACGTAAAAGGGTCCAGGAGACAAACTCTCTCAGCGTCCCGCTCTCTATGCAACACGCATCATGGATGTATCGAATCCTCACGTTTATATGTGAGCACGCCCGGAACGCCAGTGCAGCGGGAAGAGAACCCCAAGTCAACGTTCAGAGGATCATGCGTGCGCTCTTGCCAGTGGTTCAATGTTAGATATTACGTTTGGCGGGCTTCGCGATGAACCGAGGCCCCGGGCCTTGTACACGGGAGATGGAGCTCGCATACAGTATACCGTCGGCACTCGCACCCGATGTATCGCCCTCCAATTGCGAACCGATTCTGTGTCTATCATGCACAGCGCGGTAGCGATGCCGAGGCCCACTCGTGCCGAGTCGTTAAATGAAGTCGTTTTTAAAGCCCATGCTGATACCGGTTCGGTTCAGACGGCAAAACTACTTCTAATGTGTGAGTGTTGTATGTCAGACTCAGCATCATCGTGAACGATATTGATGCGGCTTAGGAATACAGACCGAACTGAATGGTGCGGCGCCCGTGTATTCTCGTTGGGATACGCGACCCTGTCCGACTGCGTCTGCGGCGGCCTTCTCCGTGCTGATGGCCGTCCGTTTGAGCTAATTCCCTGCATCGGCGGCTCAGCATCTGTGCAATTTCGCCTTTTCAGCTAGCCTCCGCCATCTGTATTCAGTCAGATCGTTATCTCGAAGCCTATTCCCAAGCCGTGGCTACCACTCACCGGTGCCGTAAGGACCCTGATGACGGTGTGAAGACCAGAACGAGTTTCCGTCCGCGTACACGAGCGGATGGCCAGACTCAACGCGGCAGAGCATGTTAGCTCTGGGTTAACCGGTCTCCTCTTGTCCTACTTCTGATGGCTTGGCGGATTCGGTTCGCAAGTCGTGCTATCCTACTGCCGTACAACGTTGTTATTTATGACATTCAGCAAGATACAGCATGCAGCCGAGCCATCGAGCCAAGCACACGGGCTAAGGTTCATAGAACTTGAAATTGCTGCCTGCGAATCGAGCTAGCGTGCCCATATGCGCCCACAACCGCAGCTCGCTCACTGGTGACCGTTGCATGGGCGAAGCCGCGAAGGGCGATGACGTAAGCCTAGTATTGCGAGTTCTGGGGACCGGAACGCGCAAACTGCAACATCAACCACACTTTGCAATGTCCGTCCTATTTGGGAACCATGCACACCAGAACGTCGGCGCATGTGCCGTCATGGACGTGGGACCCAGAACGATGGACGGCATCTTCCTAGTGCTGGATGTGTGTTCTGAGTGCCGAAGGCTTCTATTATCAGCGCGCGTTGCTTGGCGCTTTTGCCGACACACAGGACAAGCGTGAGATCCCGTTTCCCGAGTCTTCGAGCCACACGCAGTTTGTGCGGGGATGCCAGGGCGCGGGAGAGTTTTTTTGACGAGCTAGATTCTTGGAGTTTAAAGCTATGGTTGCAGGACCGTCGACGGATGCTACATGGGGTTCCGGGGCTGAGCGGAGCCAGGTGGGTGGTAAGTACAAGCGAAACTCCAAGACTGATCCATCATTCGGTCGCGTTCATAGTTCATGTCGCATACTATCGGTTCGTCGTGGTCATTACCGTGGTATTCTACTGCGCTGATCCCCGTTGACCCTGATCCGACTCAATTCAGACCAAGATCGTAATATGCCCTTGGACGTATCTAACTTCTCGAACGATAAAAGATAACACGATCACGAAAGCGCGAAAGGTCTGGACCGCTCGTAAGCGCAAGAACGCCATGATACCGTCTCGGTGGTCGGGAATCGCCATAATGGATATAATTGAGCACCAGAGGCGGTGTGCTACGCATGCTACGGAATACACACTAGTGCTCTCCGGCGTCGACTTGTATTCACTCGACTCCCATGTTGAATCACGATTAGGCTCGCCGACCATGTCAGATACAGACAAAAACAGCATGGAAGGCGCTGGACCCTGCATCGCAGGCACCAACCAAGTGCAAAGTGCGCTGTGATACCAATCCGGTGGCTGGAAAACTCCGTATTCTATTCAAAATGCAGTTGTAACTCGGACGAGTCACAACCGGCAAAGCGAGTTCTCGAGCCGCGCTGCGCTTCCTTCGGAAGGTGGGGCCTGTTAATCCTGACATTATACGACATAGAGCGTACCGAGTGCACGAGGAAGTGATTGCCAGTCCATCAAGCCTCTCAAACCCCCCTTTGCGCGCATGCTTAGATCAGGTCCGCAGTCTATTTCTAGGCCACCCAATTATCTCAATGGCGAGCCGCGCTTGGCTCTGGGCTTACTGCAAATACACGTAAGTACTTATGTATTGATATTCAGTAGAACAGATACACGTTATTGCCTGTTCGCCGTCAGACTACATCCAACCAATCGCGAATCCCGCCGCACGCTGCCACTGCCCTACTGCCCATGCGGGCCCTTTCGCAGCCGCTGCGGTCGAGCTGCATTGCTAGTGACTGATTGTTGTGGATTAGGCGGTGCGGTTGACGGGTGGCGCACGCATGGAGCTCCGGTGTTTGTGTTGGTGCGAAATCACCATAATAGCGCACGAGAGGTGCAGGAATCTTCCGCGGTGCATGTGAATAGATGCCTCCGCTCATTCACTGGATTCAGATATGCAATCGTATAAAGATATGCTCTCCCGCTTAGAGATTGAATTGCCTGATCTATCCATTAGAGACATTGCTTCGAAAAGGCACAGCATGAGGTGAGAACTCTCAGTCGAATGACACGATATTCCACGCTCACTCTATTCTTCTGCTTTCCACTGTATTCCTAGATGTCGTGTTCATCAGTACGCGGCTAGGAATCATCACGACAACAATGATTCAGCTAGGTACGACGAAGTTACACTTCGTCGTGCGTATTTGGCATCGGTGACACGAATTATGCTTGGAATCCGTTCAATCTACCACTTCACTCCTTCCGCTTGTCAAACATGCATCGCCAGCCCCGGAACGTTCGCAAGTTGAGAAAATTCGTTCAGCTCGTTCTTTATGTCGAAGCTCGTTTCAATCACCTCGTCGACGCCGGACCGCATGGCCCGCCGGCTCTATGTCGCCGCTAAACTGTCCTGCAAGGGTAAATGTTCGTCTCCCACGTTTCTCAGGACGCAGAGGTTACTTCTTTCAGAACCGCACCGTGCGGCCGTTTGTCCTGCAGTATGGTTGAGGTCCATGTCAGATTCCTCTCGATCGATCCGGTCTGGCGGGAGACAAACTGGTTCTAGCAAAGGTTCGTTTCGGCTCTGTGTGTATTGTCCGAAACTTTGCTTGATTTTGCAATTACTGTAGATGTGGTACTAGCGTCAGTTTTCATGTCCTCTCAACCCGGGTGATGGCAGAGGAGCTGAAAGACGCAGAAATGGGGATATACAAGGCGTATCGTTTGCGACAGTAAGCGACACGGCGCTCTAGACCCACAAGAAGATAGAACGCTCACAGGCTTCGCCATATATGTCGCGACTTTGGTGTCTCTAAACCTACGCGGAGTAATGTGGCAAACCTTCACCATACTGAAACACTTACGATAGTCTCGCATTCCATTGTTGCGTCACGCAGCTTGCTGGCATGACTTACATGCCTGCAGTATTGACGTGCTGCGCACGCGTTTCCGCCTGAGTCGTACGTATCATTCCTGCCTGCTAGAGGCCCCGTTGACAGTCGCTCTACAGTTATGGACGTCGATTCACAGAGGGTTCTAGCCCTTGGGGCCCCTAGCGCCAGGCTTCGATGATCAAGGAACCACGTTGGGTCGGTCCGAGCACGTTCGTCCGCTTGTCCGGTGCCACTCCGATAGTGAGCCATCTGTTTCTCCTACGTCGTAACATGTCCTCGCTTTACCGATGAACGATACATGAAGGTCCTTGTTCCAGCGTTACTGCTGATGACGGGTCGGACATGATGCGCTGAGAGGGTCTCTCTGTGCGGTTCTTCCAAGGCGCTCCGTGACATAAAGGCACGCGGTGTAATGATTGTCATCCGCCAACAGAGGACAAATTTGCCATGCTCGATGTGCGCACGAATGTACAGCTGCAAAGAATTACGGAGCGCAGGACGGCGTTACCTCATTTGTGATCACGGAGCGCCTTCCGGGGGCCGCTCATTTCGGTGAGCAGCGTCTCTCTGCGGATCTGAAAGTCGATCACACCAACGTTCACTTCTGCGTCTGAATACTGAGACGTTGTGCGTCTTCCACTTCGTGATGGCCGATGCTCCCGTGACACTTGCGCTCGGCGGGACGGGCGCAGATTGAGCGCTGGGTTCATTACGTCCTATCACTGCCAGCTCCGTACGTAGGGCGCTGCTGACTTACGTTATGGCGAGAGATCAGATTCTATTCTCATTCTCGTACATTCCAAAGTGTATCTACATTGCCAAACCTGTATGTCGAATCACATACTCTTTTCTGCTGTCTGCTGATCAACGCGTGCCCGTGTCATAGAAGATACCATCATGCTATGGAATTAGAAGGCCTGTGAGCGACTGTCTTGCTAAAACACAATTCGTGTCTGCTTTGGAGAGTTACAAGCTCACAGTCGTTGCAGCAAACACCGCTTATTGCTCAATCAGAGTGTACCTCATTATGTTGCTCAATACTGGTAACATGCGAGTCAGCAAGTCACAAGTATGCGGAGGTGAATGTGCCGACTTAACCTGCGACTTCTTCGTCCGGGTCGGAAGTTCCCCGGCAGTCGGCCTGCTGCATGCCGATTGGGAAACGTACAGACTCCGGAAGGTACGTCCATCGGCACCGTAGTAGTCCTTCTTGCCGTTATGTTTGACAGTTCCGTCGTTTAGGTGGATTCCCAACCGCCTTCGCTTGCAAGCGATCACCTACGTTGTTTTTGTCCTACGGTATCGCGCTTTCCCCGTATAGCAGAGGCTAAACGAAAGCCCCAAGCGGTGATATTATTCACCGTGAGTGCTGCCATTGGAGACAAACGGACTGAGATGCAGAGATTGCGCACAGGTGACAAAGTGAGCACTGTTCCGAGATACCACCCGGCTTACTCATTGGCATGGATGGAACCTTAATGATATATTACTTCGCGGTGGGTTCGCGTTCTGCGTTGCCGATGCAATTATGGATGCACCCGGTCTGATTGTGCCCGCAGGTACTGCAGGCTCCGTAGAACGGTCCCTGAATAGTGCCCTAGCATCCGAGTCGTGAGGATCCAGAATGTTCCTCCAACGCGGCCACCGTTTGCTAAACAATGGCACTCGTTCTGTCGACGCCAGCAATCAGAAATTGACGCGAATATACTTTACGGCACAGCAGCCTGTTTGCGGGACGTCCACTGTCGAGTCTGATTCGCTAGGACGCCTAATCTATGTGCAAGAATTTACGATAACAGAGGGGCGTCATTTTGATCATGATCCGCATGCTGGTGAAGTTGACAGCATGGCCCACCTTCCTGTTCGCCGTTGGACTCTGTCATGTGTCAATAAACCTTTGGGACCCATGGTGCGTCCTCCCCCGGGTGAAGTGGCTATGAGCTCTATTCAATTGTTGATTCGGTGCCTAAGAACTACAAATTGGACGAGGGGATATAACGTTGGTTCATGTATTCCGTTATCGTACCTTGGAATACCATGAAAACCGACAAACGATAAATAAGTACGTCTCTTCCCTGACAGATGGTGTTTGGCTGCTATTCTCATCTTACTTCCCGACTTCTCCATGCATGCAACCACATGGCTGTCTGGTGTTTTTTTTTGGTAAACATCGTTCCTATCTATGCCACGTCCTTCACATGAATCGTTGGAGTGGGGGCCCGTCGCATGGCTCATGAGATGCTTCTGACGTGGGCTAGGCAGTTTGTCCCTTGATCTAGTCGAAGGACGCCTATTCGCGAGCCATGACGCTGGCATGACGATTGAGCCAGAGCAGCCTATTATTCAGTATACCATAAGAGCTTTCCATCAAGAATGCCGTAGCGCACCTGCCACAATCAATTTGATCCAAGTGTACGTGGTCCACACTACATGATCCCGCATTTGTGATTCGGAAGCCTGGCTCTAGGTTTTCAACTCTCTGGGACACGCTTGCCATTGTCATATCAGCATTGTCTTCTCATCAATGCGACATCTGCTCTGACACTGCAGCCTGAATGTCCAGATTCTGTGTGAGAGGATGCTCATGGACATCGCTACTCGTGTCCCAGGCCTATGGATGATCTGTATACTTGGGAACACGTCTTCGCTCAGAGATCCTTCATCTGCGTTCAGTCGACTGTATGTAGTCTCCTGTGGGCAGACGAGATAATTCCTTCAGCCTCCGCGGGAACGCTCCGGATATCCTTCAACTATAATGGTGGGTTACATCTCATTGGCACTGCCTCCACTGCGTCATCGTACTAATACAACTTGTTGGAGTTCCTTCGGACATGTCTAGATATTCGCGACGCAACTCGCGGTGGACCTGCAGTTCCGATTTGGAGGCGATGACAGATAGCAGTGTCTGGACAAGGACGTGACATGTTGTCAGATAAACAAGAAACACCCGATGTAGAAGCTTAAGCACCTCCATGAAGATATATACATGACTGGGTATCATATGCATGGTAACAGGAATGTGGAACAGCATCGGTCATGAATGCGTGCGTTATAAATTATCGGAACCAAGAGTCGTCGTGCGGATCCGTCAATATGCCGTGGGCAGCGTTTCTTTCCTCCGTTCCTCAAATCGTGACCCCTCCGCTTCCGCTCGCTCGATAGCCTGCAACAGCTTCTCCTCTCGAGCACGCAGCCGTTCTTCCATGCCCAGGATGAGCAAACGCAATTGTTCGGTGTGCGGCGCTACAGCATTCGTGCCGACATTCACGGGCGACTCTGTGCTTTGTACTTGGGTGAAAGTCGAGGATGATGCGGAGCCAAGAGGCGGAGGTGCACTACTTCTGCGAGAGTTCTTGACCGGGGAGGACAACGTCCCGATATTCAGATTCTCCTGTGTGACATGCGAAAATCATGTAATCATGTAATAGCTGTGTAAATTCCAGAAGGCACACCTGCCAGTTTGCTCCTGCGAGCCTCTCCAATTCACGCTCCAGTACTTTCTCCCGTGCCTTCCCTCTTGAAAGTCCAGTGAGACATTGGGGGTGAGCGTAACATAGAAATGGAAACGCACCGTTCAATTTCAACCATAGATCGTTCGTTCTCCCTTTGAGTCCCTTGGAGGAGTATTTCCAGATTTGTGTACTCCTTCTGCAGTGCTTGGACTGCCTCCATAGAAGGGCGCTGCGCCAGCTGTGCTTGCAGCGCCTGGATCTGGTCCTGCAGCTGATGACGTATACCAGTCTGAGGTGCGATCATATCATGTGCAGCCTTGCCAGTTGCATACCCGGTCGTTCTCTCTGTCCTTCTCGATCAACTGCCGACGCAACACATCCTCAGTAGACTCCTCTGGGTTTTCCGTTAGTCTTGATATATCATCGGCGCCTAGGCCTACAGACGGTCGGCCATAAAGTCTAACAGTTTGCGCCCGACGCATTCCAAGAGCGAGGACCGACAGCTGAAAGCTGAGAAGAAGATGTCCGCTAGGTGCCCGAAGCAATGTGGCAACCTCGAGGCGGTTGTTTGGCGCGGTGTGGCAAGAGCCTTCGATCAACGCGTCTCATGTCTTAATGCGGCACGATTACACGACATTATAACTTGCAAGACTGTCCATTACTTGAAACTACATATTGTGCTCGTAAAGCATGCATGTCAAGGGGCTCCCCGTCGCCGTCACTTTGATCTTGCAGAAGAGGACATCAAATGTGCATCAACCTTTAAGAACGGAATATTCTTCATCCACAATTGCCGAACCTAGATATAAAACGCACAGCTGTAGCCTCTATCTGATTGCAAGATACAAGATGCCTACGCGGGATTTGTAAGACATGTTATCGTCCAGGTTGGAAGAATGCCGAATCATACCTAGCGTCGTACACCTGAACAAAAGTGACGTTTTCCGTTTTCAGCACCTCGAAACAGCGATCTGTACCTCCACGCCTATATCTTCCAGACTCCATGGTAGTCCACCGGATTGAAGGCGATTTCGCAAATTGCGTATGGAAGTTGTGCTCAAGCCTCTGCATCCAGCGCTCAATTCCCTCAGATGGAATGCATGAGGATCACATCGAGGGCATGAGCTTTGTTGACAAACTATGTGGTACACACAGCGTCCGGCGAAGATGACGGGTGAGGCCAGTCGACGCAGCGCACATAGTGCGAGAGGGGATCCCACGAACCTGTGTTCCCAGCATGTGCCAGCAGACGCATGCCACTGTTGATCAATTCGGGCAGCAATGACATATTGTTACGCATGGCTTGACCTTGTCCATAGAAGCTGGCGTTGACGGTCATGTTGCAAGTCAGGTACTGACGCGCTGATCACTCGTTGACGCTCCGGGTCGTTCATCCACGTTTCGATCCAATTATGCTCCATGTGGCATGTCGAGCTATTTAGGTCTTCCTAAGATCGTAGTAGTTCGGAGCGATTTCTGATAACGCGGTGACCAGCGAAGAATTAGGAGCAAATTGTATGATAACTTGGGAGAACGCACCTGCAACTGGTGAAAGAATGCGTGGCCAGCAGTACAGGGATGCGGGATTGAGGTCAGTTCCAATGGCACTTCGTGACATGGCTTGACCAACGAGCTGCAGACAGTATGGCGCGCTCGATTGCTTCGACTTCTGGTCCATTGGATCGTATGATGGGTACGGAGCTCCGCCGTATTGTCGTCATGCATTGACTCGAATTGGATAAGAAGGTCTGTCAAGCCGTTTTGCGAGGACCAAAGACTTCAAGTTGATTATCGACAGCGCCAGGTCGGGGGCTTTGAAGCGAACCCAAGTTCGTTTTGTGGATGAGGCTAGCGAGATGTGGACCATAGTGGCCACCCCATCTCAGCAGCTAGATGGAAACGCGCAGCTGCGTATTGCGAGAATCGCGTAACGAAGAGTGCATGAAACGCATAGACGTCAGCCGCCATGTCCGCGAGCGTGTCCATCTTAGATTCATCATGTGAACAAGAGAACCCAGTGCCAATCGGCGACCTTAGGAGGGTAATATTTGTATGTTCGTTCCAGGAGAATTTGTTGTAAGGCCGTCGAGGCATTGTGATCGACCGCCTGGGGTAGTCCAAGCCCGAAGAACATGCCCGAAATGAAGGTGCAACCAGGATCGTTATCGTGGTTCAACCATATCATACGAGAGGCATCCCAAGGGTCGTTCCTCGCTCCGAAGAACCTGTCAGCAGCTTCTCAGGATTGACGTTTCCCCGTATCGCAGGCAATCATTAGTGCTCACCAAAAGACCAGATATCACGACTCGGTAATATCAATGCATCCAGGACACCGTTGGATGGAGAGACCGCATAGCGTCATCTTGGCTGTGATCCTCAGGGCATATTGAGAAAATGCTGGGGGTCCTCCGTCGACTCATCTGGAACAACAACAGAGAACGTCGTCCCAACGGCAGTCAACAGGCTAATAGAAAACTCACGAGCCATCGTTACTTTGTAGCGGGAATCCATCATAGACATTGAATGATTGCACCTCTAGGACAAGTTGAAGGTCGCATGATCGCGTGCGACAACAGCGATCAACGCGCCTGTGGCTGCCGGCAACCATCACCACAATGACGAGCAACCTGTTCATGAACTTGATTTCCTTCTCTCAAAACTTCCTCAGAACACAAACATTGCCACTGGAAAAATCCTCATGGAATGAGAGCAAGCTAAAGATCAATCACGTCGATCTGTCTTGTAGCTGAGCGTCGCGGGCCAGGAACAATTGCCAAACGCATATCGGTCGCGTTGCAACCCTTCCATCCAAGAGTTGGACAAACTGACGCCACGCTGGCAAAGAAAACTGCACCTCTGACGTTTGTGCCTGCCATCATCACCTGGTGAGTCAATTGGCCTTCAACGCGCTCTACGATGATCATGTGTGTGCTCTCCCAAAGTATATAGCGATTATCCTATCTCTAGATAAGCAAATGGGCCGATGAAGTTCATCATCTCTGAGGAGCTGAGTAGTCATGCAGCCTACTCTCGGTGCGGATACACGCGAAGAGATGTGCCAATGGTCTCTTTTCCAGCATGACATGAAATGGGATCGATAGGTATGCTCAAGTTCTTCATGATAATATACACTTCTCACTGGTTTTACCATTGTTCATGCAAAGAAGAGAATATTCTGTTACCGCCCTCGTTTGAACCTATCGCGGCTCTTGCAGATTGATCTATGTACTGTGCTTAATCTCCTGGCTCCGGAACGTCCAACTGTCAGCCTCATCAATCGCGCGGTGACCGAACTAGTAGAAGAGTTGGCAAAGACAATGTGCTATGTGTCCATTAACGACGCTGTGGTCACCGCCCAGTAAACTCACGTCGATTTAGCCAATGGTGAGAGACAGTTGGTGCTGATTTCTCAACGTTACATTACATGACGATAATATAGCATTCAATTGCGGCAGGACAATAAACTTTAGCCACATCATTGAGCCCTCGCAATCGAAGTACTGCTCTTTTCCGTTGTTATCCGGGGGTTCGGTGCGATATCACGATGTATTTCGTGCGTATACTATCGCTTTAGCGACACCATTGAATTGTTTAAGCCCTCGCAATCGAAGTACTGCTCTTCGTCGTTGCTATCCGGGATTCGGTGCGGTATCACGATGTAATGCGTGCGTATGCTATTACTACACAAAGTGATTGCAAGTTAAATCATATCACCAACGTTGTCTTCATCGACTCTCAATAAGTCGATGCCTTGATTTAGTAACAGCAGCACCAGCACTCGCAAGGTTTTGCGATCCCGGGGACGGAGCATCCGCCTGCCATGAAATGCAAAATGGGGCACTCAACGGTGGCATTTCATTCACGCACGGAACCCGTTCTGCATAGCACAACCGGTGCGTTCGCTCCTTGAGTCCTCCTTAGTCCTCCTGCTTAATCTTCAGTGAGACACGAAGCACTCCCTTGTTCCTCCCTGAAATAACCTTGTCACCCACCGCCATCCACGAGCCGGGCCCATTCATTTTGTGCACTCCGAAATGAAATAACACCCTGAGACCGCCGATCACTCTTGACCGCGGAGGCAATAATGGAAGCAGTGTCCGCCCACCCCTCTTCCTAGCGACCCCCAACCCCTCTAGGACAAAAATAGGCTATTGCAAACATTAGCATATTAGACGACCTCCTATTCACCTTCCCCGCATTGCGCGCACTAGAACATAATTGGGGGGTTTCATCCTGCGGGGCCCCGCCCTTCTCCCCAAGGGCGCTTTAGTCGGGGAACGGGCCACCCCAAAACTCCAGGTCGGCACCGGCCCCTAAGCCGTTCATTCGCGGTTCGACGCTCATCCACAATCAGAACCCTCACGAAGTCCCCTCGGATACAGTCATTCAAGTGCTCCCCCCGCAACACGCATCGCGTATACAGCATGGCTCGACCGCAGCTCCCTCCATCTCCATCACGGCGAAGTCGAACGGCGGCATTGGCGTTGGCATTAGCGATGGCGATCAGCGTACAGCCTTGGCTGCGCTAAGGGTCTCACTTGCGTCCGAGACCGAGACGGCACGATCAGTGATCACACACACACACACTAGTACTGCACCCGCCCCTACTGTACCGCCGAATTCGCAAATCCAAATCAATGCCGCCGCGCTCGCACTGCACCTGCGTTCTCAAGCCCCATTTGTATTTCGTGCCATTTCGTGCCGCCAATCGACAATCAATAGAGATAGTGGTACAACGTCGTCCTTCGTATCAGCCATCAGCTCCAGCCAAGTCACTCGCTTTCTCCAACTATCAATCGCGTATCAGTCCACTCTCCGCGGCCGTGACTGTGAGTGTGAGGTTCCTGCTAATAGTACAACAACGCCCTTCGCATCAGCCCCAGCCAACTCACTTGCCTTCTCCAGCGATTGCGCGTATCACTCCACTCTCCGCGGCCGTGACTGTGAGTATGAGGCTACTGTACCTGCTACCCACGACATACTGTTCTTGTTCGGTCCTAGTGCGGCACTCTGTATCTACTGATGGTCTCTCTCGTAGCTTTAGCGAGTCCATCTAACCGTCTGATGGTTCACATCACCGCGCATCACGCGGCTCCAAAATGGACACTAAAACTCACAGCCATCACAGCCATCTTGTTCTCGACCAGTGTACGAGTATACGGCTCAGGATAAGTGTATTGCAGGAACCATGTAGCGACATGAAATAATCAATCGTAAATCATGATGCGGGTATCTATGGCAGTGCTACGCCTGTCGTGCTACGATCGTACGGAGGCGTAAATGGCATGCTAACGGAGCGCGAGAGTTCAGCGATAATGAAGAATGGACGTCGTGTACAAGACACATGACGAATATCCAAAGAAAACATGACAGTATTGCAGTGGAGACACGCATGTAAGGAGAAACGGAGAAAAAACATAGAAACCTGTAATACTATACACTAAATATACAACACGCGATAATAGATGAGGGCAGACAATGAGGAGCTGGGGATCGCGCCTGAGATGACGTGTTGAGCGCCGCCTGAGGATGTATATGGAACGAAGCTGTCTCTAGACAGCTGCAATTGGCGGGTATGGGCGCTGCAGTATGCAACGGCACCCTTTTGAGGAGCATCTTGATGTACATGGTGGGCGGAAGGAACGTCCAAACAGATACGAATAGATAGAGGAAATATTGCGAGGCGAGATGAGGCATTGACGGAGTCGAGCATAGCGAACGAGGAGACGGCGAGTGGGACGGACGAAGCGACAAGTGACCAGTCTGCTGAGCGCATACACGCGCTCTTTTCTTCTTGCCAGGCGAGCCAACCAACTGACTATCAAAGCCAACCAGCAACCGCCCAACACACAGGATCACATGGAGTGCAAGGTCCGTCCGAAGTTACGTCTTCCCGCACAGCCGCGCGCTTCCCGTCGCTCGACGTGAATCCCAGACAGCATGGAGTGCAAAAGCAGCATATAGAAGGGGGCAAGCACGCGGGCGCCCCGCGTCAGATGACCGGCGCAAACGTCGGCATCGCGCGGTGCATCCCACAGAGTGCCCGGGAGCGAGTAGGACGTGTCGTTAAATTAGGTCGCGAAAGGAAAGTCGGGAAAGGGCTTGGGGTATAGGCGTCGTGACGTGGAGGATCATCGCGGGAGTACGTATCCGAGTTCACGTTCAACGCATATGAGCTGTGGGGAAAGGAAAATCGTCAGTACCTGTCGACCCTCTACCCCGCATTGTAGCCGCACAAAGAGGAACGAATGAATTCAAGCGCAAAACCGCGAGGCGTACGCCAGGCGACTGCGTCATCGCTAAACCCACAAATGACGTCCTTGAGAACGTCAAAAGCTGAGGGAAGGGGAGAGCATTGAGGTTTCTTTCCCTCGTCGTCGTGTCGCCTCATCAGACCACCCCAGGACGACGTCCGAACACGCTCTAAGCAGCCCATATCCAGAACGACTTTGATCGGGCGTCACCAAAGCCCGACTCCCCTACTCGGGTGCGTCGTCCTCTTCTGCTCTCACCACCACCTCGACACCAAACACCAACCAAGCATAAAAAGAACTCGCAACTCACCTCCAACCATGCCCGCATCCGACATTCCAAATCCAAACCCAGGGAACCCGTATCCCCTCGCACCCTCCTTCGCGCCTCCATTCCCAAAAGCGCCGCCGTTCGGGCTCGGCATGCCTGTCGGGCTGCCTGTAAAACACCACTGGCGAATGAGCGCTGCATAGCTCGAATCGCGTTCGCGATGCGCAGCCCCGCTCGGGGTACCCGTCGTGCTCGTGCTGCTGCCTATCGACTCGGTCGAAGAACCCGAGTCCTCGCGGTGCGTCGAAGCGTCGGTAGCACTCACATCTTCAATGTCTCTGGGGCTGTCGGGCGCGGTCGCGATGGTGCTCGTCGGCGTGGTAGATCCCGAGTCGGACTCCTCAGAAGACGATGACGATCCCGAGGATGCTGACGGCCTGTTCGACTTCTTATGGTCATTCGCGACGCGGGCGGTGCGCTTGCGGATGAGGAGCGGGTGGTGGGCGTCCCCGCTTTCGGGCTTGGTCTTGATCTTCAGCTTCTTCTCCTTCTCGTGCTCCTGCTCCTTCTTATCCTCCATCATCTTCAAGCCAAACCCGAACCCAAACACACCCGGACTCTGCTCCTCGGGGCTCCTCGGCGGACTCAAGAGGCCGATGTTGTTCACTCCCGGCGCCGGGAACTCGATCCCCAAACCCGTACCCATCTCTGCGCCGAACCCGTTCACGCCACTATACGGCAGCTTGAACTCCAGTGGTTCGAGCTCGTGCGCCGGTACGAGCATGGTCGCGGGGTGTCCGCCGATCATCGTCGTCTTCAGCACCATCAACGGCCGCTGCGGGCCTGGCGAGCCCTCCTCGTTCTTCAAGCAGAGACTCTCCTCGCTTCTGTTACTCGGTGTTGAATCTGCACTCATGCCTGCCCCGCTGGGCAGACTTGCACTCCTCGCTCTCCCGATCGGCGTCGTCTCGCGAGCGATTTCGACACAAGGCGCGACGTAGTTCGACAGGCTCAGCTTCTTCTTGATGTACGCCTGTGTGGGGCTCGTCGGCACGCTCGAAGGACGCTCCTTATCTTCAGACAATGACGAACGCTGATGCGGCGACGACATCGAGCGGACCAGCTGCGAGGGAGGCGCACCATACGCATACGAAGAAGTATATGGCTGCGCTCTTGCCTTCTCCGCCTCGACCTCCGCCGCAGCGGCTGCAAGCGCACGCTCCCTCGCGCCATCCGAGCTCTCGCGGTCTCTGATGGCAGCCGTCGTCGGCGTTGGACGCATCGTGCTTGGTGCACTGAACGTCCGCTGCTGGGCGCGTTGTTCCGCTGAGCTGAGACCCATGCCCATGCCCATGCCGAGGCCCATTCCAGCGAGGTTATGCGAGTGTGCTGGCAAGGACGCCACGCGTCGGAATCCAACGCGGAAGTTCTTCCCGCCGTTGTTATCCCAGAACTCGCCACCGCAGCCGGGGGAATACCGAGCGACGAGATAAAGCGTGCGGTCGCAAAGCTTGTGCTCGTAATCTTCTAAGCGAATAGTGAAGCTGTCAAAGGACTCGTCAGCGCCGAGCCCGGTGGCTGCAAAAGCATGCGATCCTGCTCACCTGAATCGATCCCACGAAGACTTTGCATTATCCACTTTGGGTACATCTCCATGTGCAATGCTACCCGCGACATCACCCATCGTGCGCGCCTGCGGAAACGGTGGCGGGAGGCTCGGGAGGCTCACGACGTGCTTACACGTCACCTCGCTCGTCGTCTGCCAGTCATCAAGCGTGAAACGGACAACGACGCGCTTCTCGAAGGTGATGTTCCGGACAAGCACCGTACCGCGGAGCGCGGGTGGGCGCGTCCTCGGCAGGGCAAGCGTCTCGAGGTAGATGTTGGCGTAGGGCGAGGGATTGGGCGCAGGCACGAGGTTCGTACGATCGGGACTGGGATCGATCTCGTGTAGAGGGAGCTCGTCGCGCGTGTGTGCGTGGGCGGCGGCGAAGGACGGGAAGGGGAAGGAATTGCGAACGTACGAAGACGACTCTGCCTCTGTCTCGGTCTCGGTCTCCTCGCCCGGTGGCTTCGACAGACTCGCGGGCTTTCCGGAGCGGTTGAAGACGCGGACAGTCTCGAGGCCGGCATCCTTCTCGGCAAAGTGGACGTTCTTGGGCCCAGCGGGTGTGCTGGGGGCCGATTGGGCACGGAGATGCTTGTGGGCGCGGTCCACCATGCCGGCGACGTTGGGAGAAGAGCAGGATGACTTGAGAGAGGGCTTGAGAGGCTTGCCGTTGGAGAGAATAATAGGGGTGCTGGGGGTACGCGGGAGGGAGGATGCGGGAGGAGAAGAGGACAAGGAAGAGGAAGCAGCAAATAAAGGTGAGACTGTGTCAGACGGGGAGAGCGGTGATGATGTGGGGAATGGGACAGAGGCAGGCTGGAGAGGGGGGATGTCGATGCGCGAGGGAGGGTCAACGGCGGGTGAGAACTTGCCCGAGGTCATGGATAGGCGGAGGGAGTTGGGAGGGGAGAGGTAGCCGTTGGCGGTGCCGTTGATGGGCCTGGGCGTGGCGAGGGGGGAAATGTCGAAGGACTTGTCGTCGTCGGGCGGTGAGTCATCATCGGGGACGTCAATGTGGAAGACACGTCGCTTATGCGAGCGGGGGAGTTGGCCCATGGGTGCAAAGGCGCCGGGGCCGCGCTCGTCGGAGAAGTTGTTGGCGGAGCGGGTGCGGCGATGGGCAGCGCGGGGGCTGGTGACGGCGGAGGATGACATGCTGGATGTGTTGGACGACGGCGGAGAGGGACGCTCGACGGCGGGGACGGCGTAGGGCATCGTGGGGGGAAAGTGAGGTGGCAATAGGGGCTGTGGCTGCTGCCCGAAGGAGAGAGGGGTTATTGAAGGGGACGCACTGGGTGGCAGGCGGCGGAGAGAAATAATGCTGAGAAAAGAACACTGGGCGAGGTGCGACTCCGTTTTGGTTTTGTGTCCCGGACGAGCCTATAATCCAAACGCGACGTCATTACAATTTCCTTTTCCTGCTACTGCGCACGTGCCCCTTATCGCCCTTTTCCCTTTCCAGGCCCACCGCCGCCGCGCCCTCGCCCTCCACCGCGCTCTCCCCCTAGCCCCGTCCGATAGCCAGCGATTCACTAAAAGCTACTGCTCGCCGCAGGACGCCTCGTTCTCCGCTGCGGTGCCCGGCGGTCGCACGGCAGTGTTGGGCGATGCTCGCTCCACAGACCAACGGGCACGTTCTGGCCTTCCCATCATTTCACATCAGAGTTTCCTATCGCCTCCATCCATTCAGTCCGCCTTCGCCCATCACCTCCGCCCCGTGGCCTCGCTCAGGCCCGATACCCGACACACGCGCCTCCCTCCCGGCGCGATCCCAGATGCACCGCAGATCCTCAGCGTCCTGCACCATCCTGAACGAACAACCCCCAAAGCCTATTTCACCCCTTCAGTCCTGCACGCCCTTTGCGGATTCAGATACTCGCCGTGCCTGTCTCTTTTCCCACCATCATCGTCCCATTCGAACCCAGCCAATCTCATCATACCCGCTCCCATCCATCTTCTCTTTGCCCCTTCCCTTACGTCTAAGCCCGCCTTATTCGATCCTATTGCTCCCTCCTATCTCTCCTTCGCAGCCGTATCCACTGCCACAGTCTCCGCACGCCTTTCTAGATCGCCTTCTTCGCGCCTTCGCGGAGACTCCATTGACAAGAAGGATATCCTTTTGTGCCACTCCCCTTTCCCATCTCCATTCTCTTATTCTGTTCTCTGGGACACCGGCCGCAGAAAAATTACGCGAAATCTTTTTCGACGCGCGTCCGATGCTCGCTGCGCCTCTCTTTTTCCTACCCATTCAATTGCGATCCTACTCGACTCGACCCTGGCGTTTCCGCTCCTAGCTTTTTTTCGCGCGCACGCCATCGTCGCGTATCGATCGTCGCTTGCACCGCCCCGCCGCCGTACTCGGACGTCTCGTATGGAAATGCCGTCATGAAACTCGGGTCGTACTCGCGATCAATCCCCAGCGAGATAACGCGCTCGCATCTGCCAACCGTCGCCGTCCTTCAAGACACATCAGCGATAAGTCGAGCCCTTCTCGCGTTCTGATCCGGAATGGTATATGGGTGGAGCGAGGAATGAATGGCGGATCGCCGGTGCGTCCGCTCTATAACCATCTCTTCACCCGAGTCCCGACGCTTCTGCCGACGCTTTCTTCTGTATTGGTACGTTCGGACCGTATTACGCGCTCTGCTAATGAATAGGTCGCCCGACTGTGCGCATCTCCACCCCAACGTGCTATGCGGCATTACGCTATAACCCCCCTCCCGTCGTGGACACTTGCCAAGCGGTGCATAGAAAGTGTCTGGACCACAGAAGAGTCGTCGACGCGCTTCTGCTTCCCGTAGATGCACCGTATTCGTCCTTTGCTCCCAGCTATGTAGCTTGCATGTGCAATAGCTGGATGTGAACGGTAACGCCCTTCTCCTCACTCTTCACCTTCATACTGTAAGTGAGCTCGGCTGTCGTTACCACCCGCCGCGTTGCGTGCCAACGCCGCAACGGACGCCTAGCCCAAGCCAGGCCGCTCACACCCCACACAGCTTCACGTTCTCCTTCCTCCCGCATTCGTTTCCTCTTCCCATCTCCAATTCCCACCCACTCTTTCCCACCAGCCGGCGACCTGAATCAGGGTCTGCTGAACGCTGAACGCCGTGCTTCGCGCCGAAGAGAGTATTTGCAATGCCGTCCAGATGATCTGCTGCTATTGCGTGACTGCGAGCTACCGTACTAGTCATTGGTACTTTGTTCTACCCTGCCTTCGGACCCCTTCTTAGTACGTTTCAATACAATGCATAGGACGTACGCGGGTTCCCTACAACGCAATTGAGCTCGCCAATACAGTAAGCCCCACGGCCGTGCGCACTCGCACGAACCTCCTCGGCAGAGCCACCCGCCGAGCTCGTTAGCCTCCGGCGGCGGGAGCCAGTCCATATCGAGTTGGCCGTCGCGCTATGCTAGCCATGCCGAGCTGCGCGCCTGTTCCTCGTACCGTTGCCTTGGCTTCGTGAGGGTTGCTGACACACGCTGCGCCGCCGCCCGAATTTGATTGTGCGGAACGCTGGCGCATGAGAGTGGGCCCGGTGCGTCAGGTGGCCCTGGGCCTAGGTTGGAAGGCGGTGGTGTGGGTACAAGATCGTGTTCGATGCTGGACGTTGTCTTTGATCGACGCGGAGGATGGACGAACGTGAACCCAATACGCCGATCATCACCGCCGCGGTCCTCCTCCTACTTAGACATAGCCGTCGACTCCCGGATCTTGCGCGTCGCCTACGGTGCTCACCGTGACGAGCCTCTTTCTTCTTCAAAGCTTCATCCTCGCCATTTCGCCTAAATCGCCTTCAAGTTTGGACAACCCCGAAATCGTCACATGCACATCCCACACACCCTGACGAGCTCCTTCTTCATCGATCCATCCTCACCATTCCGCCTACTAAATTGCCTCTGGACACCCCCGCAAACCGTCACATCCCACCCCACACACCTCTGATGGCCGGCCCAGACTCGTTGCACGACATTCGTGGCAATCCGTCGACCCAATCACTGGCATACTCGCACTCACGAGAACACGGAGAGCGTGTAACCGCGCAACGCGTCTGCGTCGTGGCAGCCCTGCCGACGCGTCGCGAGCACAGACCGGTGACCACCTGACCGCGTCCCATATTCAATATTCGCCACAGCCGAGTGGACGTTGCAATGCAGCGAGGACGCGCCGGGCACGCACGCACGCACGGAGTCTTCCGTGCCCTGAGCGTGCAGCCTGCTCGCTCCTGATCGCGATCAAAGAAGGTGGGCTGCGCGGACTGATCAATGAGATGAGGTCAAGAACTTACCCGTCGACGCAGCACCGCTGAAGGTTTTGGGTTTGCTAGCGAGTCGCGCGCGGGCCTCCTGGATCAGAGCTAGATGATGGACAGCAGCTGTTCGTGCAACGCATTGGATACCCATACACTGCACGACGCCGAACCTTCTCCCAGGCACACACTGCATACACGGACATGAAAATTCGCGCAAATTCCAACCAACGGCGTGCACGCACCCGTCCTTCTGCTGACGCGTTTCAAACCCTTGGTAGGTTCCTCACCCTGCCTCCATCCAGCGTGTTCGCCTCATCTTCTCTTCATTGACGCCTTCTTCCTCTTCAAGGCTCCAGCCCGCTATCCTTACGAGATGCATCTCGCCGTCCGCACATATCGGGCGTTCTCGACTCCCCGGTCACGCAACGTGCTCGCAGCACGTATCACCGCCGCGTAACGCCGCATGCGTACATGCTACGTGCCCGCGCGCGTATTCCCATCCACGGCTTCGCGGCGTCCAGCTGACCGCTCACAGGCACAGCCATTCCCTGTCATTCGCGCAGATCGGTCTTCCCTTTCTTTCGTCCCTCGGTCCTCGCGGTCGTTTCGGCGTAAAGGACTGCGTTCGCGTCCTTCACACTGTCGTACCGTGGTCCATGATCTAGGTTGCCTCATCTTCTTCATCGGGCCGTCGCCTGCGAATCTGCCTTCATCAGCTGAATCGGGCGGGCCGTCGGGGAGGATTGGTACGTCGTCCGTACACAGCATTTGAGATCATGTCTCTGCCGGCGTGAACGTTCATGCACGCGATCCTGGCCGCCATACTCTCGAGAGACTGCTCCGAGCAAGATCGCCTCGTCATTTCGTCATCCCGTCTCTATCACAGTATGATGTATGAAGCGACGATGCCAGCTGCGCACTCCAATTCTCGCTCGTCACCGGCGCACAATCACTCCATATCACTAGTGATCTCTTTCCCTTGGGGAGAAGAAGAACGCCCAGCTGGACCTCGCTCGAGCCCAAGCCCGGACCCGCCCTAGTCTCCAGCCGTACGTACACCGCGCATCCTCGCACGCAATCCAATACCATACAATACCGAACCCACCCATGAGCTCACATCTACATGCCATTCAGTATCTGAATCGCCACCGGCCACCCCTCATCACCTATCACAGCCCTCGAGTTCGACAGCGTGAAGAGATCGATGGAGCGCGCGCAATTCATCCCGGGCAAACTCGGCGATTGACTTTCGCATACATTAACCTCGCCAGATTCTCACGGCGCACCACTCAGCCTCCGATCGACACCCAGCTTGGAGCAGGGTGGAGCGGGCCACTCCACTCGCAAGATCTATTTGCTTCCCGCGACGCAACGCTAACAACGAACTGACAAAGCACCAAAGCACGCGAACGCTCCAAGCACAGCACTCTCCCTGTCCGCGTAGTCCGCGTCCGTTGGAGTCGGGCGCTCCCGAAATGCTCCTTGCCTGCGGGATCACATTTGCATTTGCATTTGTTCGCCGCGGACTTGATCGGCGTGCTGAGAAGGCAGGCGCAGCTTGGTGGCCCGCGCGTGTTTCGATCGGAGTACTCGCCCCCTCTCAGTGTGCTCGGTGCCTCCGAAAGGCTTTCGGTGCCTGCTTAATGCCTCCGTCCCCTTGATGGCCCTTCGACATCACAATGCAGCGGCTCTGGGCCGTGTTGCTGCAGCCTGCAAGGAGACAATGATCTGTCTGCTCCAATAATGATTCAATGCGGAGTAAGCTAGGTTCGCCCCATATTTCTCAATCCACGTCCTGCCCAAGTGGAGCAAGTGCACGCACCAATCGCCATAGCTTTGGCGCCAGCGTCACGAAATTACACCCCGCAGGTGCGAGCGAACGTTCGCGCATCTCCGTAGGTGCGGAGCCAACGTGCAGTTTTGACTTCTGACTCCGCTCTGCGCCCGTTTTCGCCACGTATTGCAGCGTACAAAAATCTTCCCGCGAGTCGTGCATCTCTGAAACTTCACTCGGATCGACTCGGAGATGCTCCTTGAACTTCGAGTTTGTGCTAAATTTCGTACCTCTACTGGTCTCGAGCGGCGCTCAACATCAAATATTGGCATCGCCTCTCTGGATGACTGGATGACCATTCTTGGCAACTAGTCTAGCCCGACGCGCGTCGAAAAGCTATTGGTCCCACCGGCCCAAGTATTTGGCGCCGGTGATGAGAGCGCAGGCGGATCATGCGCGCACGCATTTCCTGCAGCCAGGTAGAATTGCCACAAAGAACGACGCATTCTAGGTGCTGCGCACGTCACAGCGGTGTCTAGATCGTTTTTGACGTCGTGTCCTGCGGCCACCTAGTCGCCGGTTAGCGCGTCAGCGTCGGTGTGCATATGATTCGCCACACGCAAACTCATCTCCTCTTACCCGATTCCGCTGCGCTCGCGCTTACACACCGCACTTTGATCCACGCTCAACAAAATTTGATCAGTAAAGATCAGGCAACCTGGCGGCGAACGTGCGCGCTGGACGGCCGAGCCTCGTCGTCCGAAGGCCAGCCTTCAGTGGCCTTCGCTGCCTTCGCTGCCAGCGCTCCATACTCAATGTCCCAGACGATCACGCATCCCCATCGCCGAACCCTTCCCATCCCGGTTTACGGATCATCTATCCGCCCTCGAGGCAGCCAGCGCTGCGCGACCGCTGGCGCCGAATCGCTCGGAGGCCTCTCCAGGCGCTCCGGGTTCGGCCAGGAGGGTGCAATACTATTTATGGCGGGTGGCCAGGGAGTCAGTTGACGGGGCGTGGGCTGCCACGTTGTAAGTCTATCACTGTTTGAGATTAACCGAGTACGTAATGATAGCTCCATAGCGCGTGTGAGGACCTGCGCAGACAGCGCGATTGATATTGATATTATCCGAACGTACGAGTGCTCGTGTTTTGTCTGGGGGCAGGCTTACTTGGGCAGTCGGCAGCCAGCGCTTGGTTTCGTAAATACGACGACGGCCGTGTTGGGACCCGAGTAAGCGATTGAATATGTGATCGGTAATATATCAGCGCACAGGAACTGTCGTCCGAAATTTAGCAAGGTGATCGACATCGTGCATTTGCGCTGTTAGCGGGTAATACGTACGTCTAACGAACCCACAGCACCTGGCGTACTTCCACCCCAACGAAATATTAAATGCCTTGGTGTTCTTTCCGTTGAGCCTATGTCAAACAGAATGTAAAGCTAAGCTGAGGTCGGTGTTCTTTCCATTGAGCCTATGTCAAAAAGAAACACGTTACGGCAAAGCTAAGCTGATGGCGGTGTTCCTCCATCGGGTCCGACTCGTCCACGATCAAGAAGTGGCAGACGGGATTACCATATCATCTTGTCACGATCACGCCGACGTCGGACCGGAATTAGTAAGCAGGCCACACTGCCTTGGTCATTTCGCGGGACTGCGGGATGGCGAAGCGAGCGCGCGACAAAAGCGATGGGGTGCCGTTGACTTTGCCCCTTGTGGCCTCGATTAGGCCGTGCCTTGTTTGAAAAGGTAGGCTGCGTCTTGTTTGACAAGGAGCCCTTATTGACGCGCTCAATCGGACGTCAGAATGCATGATGCTTCTAGGCACGGCAATAGCTACGTACGAGCGTTCTATTCGGTCTCCAAGGTGCCCATGTCAGCATTCAGTCAGGCTCAGCCGTTAAATCATCGATAACGCATGGGCGGTCATGCCGTTTCTTTATCTCGTTGCGCAGGAAATAGGGTATACGGGCGTTCGTACGGACATTCGGGTCGCCCGCGACGAGCGCGCAGGCTGGTGAGAGCTCCTCGCCCCAACGTCTGGTGTCCGTTATGGATTATCTCGCATATCTGAATTGCGCGGAAGATATCGATCCGGTAGCCACATATTTCCAACTTTAGTGAGCTCCTGGAGAGTGCTGCTGCGCCCTGTGAGAATCTGTCAAAGAACATTTGGTGGCTGAGAACACCGGAAGTCTCAGGATGCGCGAATCCTATACAATAGCTTCGACTTCGTCGGTCCATTACTCACTAAGAAGGCGGCACTACATCACTAGCTGACAATGCCGTGCGGTGCAATGAATGTCGTATACTTAGCTCGGATGTCCACGCTTCCCAGCAATGGTAGTACAACCGCCGTTTTTGATTGTGCACGCAAACACGAAATTTTCATTTTTTCCGAACCTACAAGCCGTATTACACGCGCAAACGTATCTCCCACGCAGGCTAGAAAGACCTCATACATAGCTACCGTTTCTCCTTCAAGCAGAAAGAGATGTCTGAACCACCGGCCCTGCCTTCCGACGAGAAGAAACGCAGGAACGCGTGACGTAGTCGAGCACTGAGACGTCCAGTCGCTTTCCGCCCTGTTTTGGCGCAGACGAGCCTTAGAGTGAGAGGCGAAGTCTGCAATTTGACTGAAGGTGCGTTAGAGGAATGCAACGCGTCGCGGACGCGCGTTTTGGGCAAGGCACGTGACCCGGCATTTCCCGTCGATGTTCGGACGGCCACCGTGGTCCGTGAGCCACCACAAAGGATCCGTTGTATATAGCGTATATGCAGACCAGCGGAAGCACTCATCAATTGCAATATCTGGTTTCTCTCTGAACGTTGACGGTAAAATTCGAAGTGGTAGGTGACCGTGAATTTACAAACGCGATGATTACATAAATTCCTTCACTCGTCGTAGCATTCCTTATCGCTTCAACCATTACGTAGGAAGACTTTGCGGCATCTTTGACAGTGAGTGACAGAGAATGATATTTTGTTTAGCCGTCATTGACGAGATCCCTTCTCACATTGTTGCCACAAACGCGGCTCGCCGAAATCGCCGCCGGCTGATTTATGTCTCCCTTGATGGGAACCTGTCGAGCTGTGTGAGTAGAATCTGCTCTGTGATGACTGCCGAAAAGCTGATCATTAGTTCGGCGCATCATTCAGGCCTTTACCGCCATGTGTGTTGAGTAGCTCAGCCGCTGTTGATCCCGAAAATGACTCTGTAAATCCACGCGGTCCTGATGACTTCAGCTGCACAGCGACTCGCGCCAGAACAGCTGCGCCGACAATCCTTGTCCGCAAACGGATTCGTCGCTGTCATCGATGCTAATCTGCAGACGGACTCCACCATGATAGTGATCGGCTATAATTCGGGATTTAGACTAGCTGCATTGCTTAATTTTTGGAGCATTTTGGAGATCCAATGAGTGTGCGCGTATGATCAGCGTCCTCTGACTTTGCCCCATAGATCTGCATAAATCTCTGTGAAGGGAGAGCCGAGATCTAGGAGGGTCAGGGTGGAGATTCGGAACGGTTATCGGCGGCAGCGCAGCGTGAGCCAGTTTTCATGATTCAATCCGTTTGCGAGTCTTTCGTGCCGCTACAGATAACTTCAGGTACAGAACCAAATGTTGGTGCATCCTCGTGCTCGGCACATCCCGCAGAACGCGCGTCGAACGGAATTATGATGTCTTGGATCAACGCCGTTGCTTCTTGAACAGATCCAGGCTTTCTTACGGCGTATGTTTCCCGCGGAGTATTGGCCTGACCAAGTAAGTATAACAAATTAACAGATTACGCTGCGTACTTATTTCATTGGTCTCTCCATTTGGTCAGGCCTCAGGCACGTCTGCTAAATGGTCCGATCCGATATGCGATCTGTTCCCCTAGTCTCCTGTCTATCGGGATCAACTTGCAAGGTGGGACTAGCGAGATCGATAGTGCTGCTCGTCGCATGAGGTCACGGTCATCGCAGAAGATCGAGTGTTGATCCTGACGTTGACCCCCTTCACAATCACACTTCTGGTATGTGCAATGATGATTCCACATGCCTTATCTGCTCGGGTCTTCCCAGGTGAGGCAATGACGAGAGCTCTTGTCATATCCAGAAGCTTCTCTCACGGCGACTGGGCAACGGTACGTGTTTTCAACGTGTTCTTTGAACAATACGTATCGCGGATGATCTTCCGGAAATAGCAACCTCGTCATGACGACTCTGCATGTTCTCGCGGCGAGAATACTTCAATGCCCAGGCTGGCCTTTCCATCAGAGCGCGAAGTGATGAAACGCCAGCTACCCAAGCCTCACAGTCATGGTTCGGGAGGTTTCCTAGTGCTCATGCCATTCAACATGAGGGTCGTCTCGTGACTGTCGCGCATCACTTGGCGCCATGTTGCACTGCCATTTACTTCCAGATCGTCATATCTTAATACTAGCTGCGAGCACACGAAGTTCAAATTGATTGAATTGGAATAATCGCACGTATGATGGCTCCGCTACCTTCATGTGGCCAGACGCTTGCTACTTACGGAATGAATGCGGGAGTTTCGAGTGCTTTCGCTGGACATCATTGGTTTTGCCATCTGATACGATCTACAACACGAGCTTCGTCTGTGCGTGTTTTCCTCGCGCTTTGTATTAGACTTCACCACCCGTTTCATATTGACAGTAACTTTGTATATCGAAATCCCTTCGCAGCAACAGTGATTTCATATCATCGACTTTTCATTCTGTGCAGCGAATCCCGTCTTTATGCTTCTCGAGGCATCATCAAGGAAAGCATCAGCTCTTCAAAGAACATACGTGCGTTGCACGCGTTCACATCCATGAACGCCATTCTGAAACGTGCATTGCCTGGAGCCTGAGGATTTCATGACCCAGAATCTGCCCTTTCCCTCCCTCGTCATAGTCACACAGAGAGTATCTCGATAGGTGACTGACCTCAAGCGACGCGAAGAACCATTCGGTGGATACGAGATACATTTTGTCCAGGTTTCCGGAACATGGCAGCAGCGGCGTGCATCCAAAGCTTTCATTCATTTTCTTTCGTAAGTTATGTTGCTGCTGCGTATGGTGATGATCAAATCAATTCGAGGAACATGCAGAATCGGGCTCGCTGTTGGTGTCTCCATAGTTCCGTGGAATGATGCAACATCGAGGACTTCGCGAGGCGGAGCATTCAACTTACCGCTATTGCTGTCGCACTCCTTCTCACATAGAGCGCGAGCTATAGGAAAGGTGAATGGCTAAGTTTGCTAAAGCACTCATCGTCCAGTGCACTAGGAAGAGTGATATGTGTGAAAGCACAGGCGTTTTAATCGGTATATTCTAGTGAATATTATCAGTGAGCCTTCACGAACAAGGTTAACGACCACGTTTTGCTGATAAACTATCTACGTGACAGAACAGGTAATGAGTGTTAAAGTTCTTTGTTTTCCGTCAATACTCCTGTGATGAATTCCGGAGAAGAAACTTCATTGCCTGTTTGGCGGGCTACTGTGGTCTGTGGCGATGATAGATGCATATACGCGTCTCGAAACGTCTCGATAGCCACTCCAAGACTCTGAAAACATTGCGCATTGCGTTTCCGCCGGGATCGGCCCCATAAACTCGTTTGGGGGTTGACGTTAGTAGGTCAGCGTCCTTCCTCAGCAATGTGCATGATGTTACTCACGTTGCAGGGCGCACACCCTCCACCCATTCGCATACCGGCTGCTTGGCTATGCATGGCGCGTACCGCGCTGTGTGGCGGTTGAGCGGCGCTCTGCGCCAACTTGCAGGAGTGATTAGGCATTTGGAGCACGGAAATGTGCTCGTGTCACTTCGCAGACCAGCAGCTTCGGCACACGTTGGCCACCTCCCTATTGACATCGTGTGCCAATCAACACCAAGAGGCATGCGACAACTGCCTTCCGCTATGCTTCTCGTGCTTCACGGTGTCCAATGACTGCCAAATTTGTGCCGCCGCCTTGCATTAGCACGAAACAGGTGTGTTGATATTTCATGTCTACGGCGTAACTAACACGCGGATGCATTCATACACAGATATATATCCCGATAGCGTTTGAGGCACGCATGTGCATACTATGAGTTTATTCTCCCAGTACATGTCGGATGATTCTGAAACTGAGGAGAACTATGCTAGCCCTCTCGATTGGGGCAACGAATAATGTTCACGTCGATGGCGTATGGTGTGGTGAATATGCATTATATCTCCGACAGAGCAATTAATCTCAGATGCCGCAGGCCAATCGCGATGATCATCCTCTGATCTCGTGTTAATCTTATCTGTGCTATGGTTCACAGAATCTCTTATCCATAGTAACCTCTTGCGGGCCACAGGCCCTTCCTCAGGATCCACGCATTTCCTCCTAATCTGAACTCTACTACTGAGAGTTGATACAGTTCCAAGTTTCAACACATGTACGTTGAATGAATTTTTCGTTATTGTGATTGAAATAAATGTCCGACTCATTATCGATAGTCCAGTACCAAGGGCTTGCACATTATCACCATGATGAAGCGGTTCGGAACATCGGAGCTGGATCGGTCATCATCAGCTACCCATATATAGCCAGCCATCAATACAGGATCACTTCTTACACTGTTGATCATGCAAGTCAGCGAGCTGTTCGAGTTGGGAACTCAGCTCGACTTGGTGTGCCGAGTAATACGCGAGTCGAGCTGAGTTGGCAATTTTGAAACACACGAGTGTCACAGCTTTCGTCTCATTATCATGTTGTGGCATTCCTTCATTGTGGCGCAGTTCTCCCCCAGAGTGTCAGCTTGGTGGACATCGATTAGCGGCCTCAGAGCAGTTTCTGCTCATCCTCCTACCCGCCCGTTTCTTTTCCTACGTGTGGTACACTCAGCAGAGCCGACCGATGACTTCATAAGCAAAAGGGTAGCGTTGTATCTCGTTTCCCCGCATAAACCGGAAGATTCCTTTGTGGATTGTTACTTCCGCTTATCTGGCAAAGTTTCTGCTGAGAAGAGACTGGAAGTCCATCCATCCTTGCCCTCCGAAACACCTCTATACATTCATAGATTCTCTTTCCTGCAGGTCGGAGGTATAGAGCGCATTTGGGACGATGCGTTCGTCAACCACGTCTATCAAGACGATGATGATACAGCACGCCACGCGCTTACTCCAGCCAGTTTCGACAATTTCAGGACGACATCCAGGAAGGTCCTCCGAAGCTTCCTCGATAGATGCTGGGGGAGTCCGAAATGGGCTGCACCGTCTGATGGAAAGGAGCGAGTGCAAGATGGCTGGGACTCTTTCAGTAGTTATCGACCCCACGAGTATATCAATGATCCAGAGAGCCACCTTTTCGACTGGCTCGAATTCGAGGACCTACCTCTCGACGAAAAGCCTACGATATACGACGAAGTGTCGTTATTCGATCAGTACGTTCGAACATTATGCTTCGACGATCTTCAACTGATCCGATCTGGAGGTTTGCTCAGGATTATTCTTGGGAAGGAATAGATGAGACAGTTGAGTGGATTGAACAAATGCGCAAGGTTCGTGGTGGAACCTAGTAGCTTTTATGTCTTCTAATCGACTCCTTCCAGTTTCGCACGAACCATACGCTTCTTGACATTCCTTCAGGGACGTCTAAGCCAAGCATTTCCGCTCCCACGTTGAATGAGTACCTCGAAGCGGGAGCCACAGCGCTCTCATCCATGAAGATACCGTTCGACGGTGATCCACTTCCCCCGCAAGATACAAAGGAGAATGAGCCGTTCAATATCTTCACATGGGATTGGGACGAGGACCCTGAACCGGAATTTGCGCCACCTCCGAAGCTGCACCCGCCGGTCGCTGCGCAAAATGTAAAAGTCGTTATATTCGACATGTTTGGAACTATAGTGGTGAGTTCCAGTATGCGTTGGCATGAGCGGTTTTTCTGAATCTGGTGCTGCAGAACCATGAAGCGACTGTGAACACTGTGAGCCGACTGCTCGCTCCCTGGGACGCTAACAAGCGGTTGGAAGGCATGCTTGCTCGGCTTCTGCTAGAATGTGAAGCGCACGTCCGTCTGTCATAACGTCTAGGGACCTGGCTGAGCGCACACTAGAAGGTTTTATAATCCACGCGGGACTTTTCCTTCCAGCGGACGTCCGACTCGTAGCCCTGAAAAAGCTCCAAAAGACAGAGTTGTACCCCGATGTGTACGCATCGCTGAAAGCACTGCACGGACACGGATACAAGATCCTGGCCCTTCCTCCGGCAGACCAGCACGATCTAGCTCTCATTCGGCGCTCGTTGTCACCGAATGTAGAGCTTCCTTCCTTACCTACCTTGCCCACTGGAGCGGACGGCCTCCCAGATCTTGCCACTCTCCTCGATCTGTGTCGACAGCACATTCCCGCCATTCAACGCAGCCAAATTCTGGTGGTCACTAATTCATTGCATCGTACGGTTGACCCCGCGAATGCGGCTGGTTTGCCCACAGCGTTCTTACGCCGGCAAGGCGACATTGAGGCACACGTCGATCGTGCGAAGCCAGATGCCCCCAAATTTGCACAACCAACATACACCTCGGAGGGACTGTATGCGCTGTGTACACAGTTGGGCGTTGAGGTCAATGAATGAGCCATGGTCCCCACGTCGACGAGATGTTTGTGTTCGTATGTAGCAGACTATTCCGAGAAGAGCACGACTTCCGGATCTCTTGAATTCATATCTGCGTCACGGTAGAATCGTACCAAGTGAAGGAATTTTCTCACCAGCCATATGTGAATAATGTGCACATTTACGAGGCCGCAGGCCTTTCATATGAAGCTCCACCGCCATTTATTAACACAGCTTCCGTCTTTAGGTATTGACCTTCCTATTCCAACGATGTCATTTACCACATCATGCTCTCTCGGCAACTTGAGGAGCTCAACCTCTTGAGATGTTCCCTACTTCCCGGCGAGAAGCTCATTTTCGTTCCATCCTCTAACAATGCAGATCTCAGCTGGAGTGACTTGCTGGACTCCTACTCAGAGAACAACATCGGGCCCGAGAGCGAGAGAAGAACTTCCGAGGCGGTGAAGAGCTTGCAGCCTGTTCATTTCCAGATCAGAGCCGACAATTCTGATACCTATTTTGACGTCGAGCTATCCTCATATGATGGGAGTAGCCTTGAAGAGAGCAGGGTGACCGTCTCGGTCAAAGGCGAGCATCTCGGCCGCAGAGACCAGGAGCGGTGGCAGAGTATCATCAAAGATAAGCTCGGCGAGCTGCAGGATAGTGAGTGCGTTCTGGAGGCCCCTGACAGCCCACAGAAACATGACCCTCGAGTCACTCTAGGTACCCCATCTACGAGCTGATATCAACGCACCTCCTCCCGCTCCTCCACACTGAGTGCGCAAGTGAGGAGACCTCCCCACCTAACCAGGAACCGACAGACGTTCAACATGGCACAGCACCTCGTTACCACGCTCTCCTCACTTCGCACCATCTCAAGTCCCCGAACAAGCGGCGCTCCCTCCAGCAGTGGCACAACGAGCTCTCACTCACTGGTTTCGCCAAAGTCGGTCACCCAGGCGTGATCTACGCGGAAGGCGAACAGGCTCAAGTTGAGCAGTTCGTCGCGAATGTCAAAGCAATGCAATGGCTCGCGCTGCGTGTGCGGTTTGTCGAACCTCTGCCAGAGTCGGAGAATAGGACTGAGCAAGAGCGGCGTAACACGGAGAAGGGCTCTTGGAAAGAGTTCGAGAAGATAGGCGATGTCGTAGAGGAGATGCGAAGACTTAGGAGGGAGAAGCACGTTGTTGAGATGGGTATAGGCAGTGCTGGTAATACACCGAGCAGGTAGTACCCCTACTCACTCACTTCATTACATGAGGACTGGAGAACGATGTGCAAGTACCCCAAATTCAATTGACAACAGGACATGACATACTGCGTACAGACAGAGACAAAGGACAAAAGGACTGACAAAATTACGAGAAACCGAGAAGGCCTTTTGAGGTCATTGTCGACCGCGACCGTGAACCGAACGATACGCTGCCACTCAGTAGCGCCTGTCACCTTCGTAGCCACCACCACCACCACCACCACGGCGGTCATAGTCGCGGCCATAGCCCCTGTCGTAGTCGCGGCCATATCCTCGGTCGTAGTCGCGGCCCATCCCGCCGCCACCACGGTAGTCGTCATCGTAACGTCCGCGCGGGCGGCGTTCATCTAATCGAGAGTAGCGGCTGTCGTACGGACGAGGATCGTAGGGCCGTTCGACTGCAAAGAACGAGATCAGCTTCCTCTTTCTCTGTTGAAAAGATTGAAAACGCACATTCGTTGCGCTTCGGAGGTCCGTAGTACCTGCCGGGAGTCGGAGTCCTAGCGCGAGCTCGGCGGGCCTACAATGCAAAATAAGGCAAGAAAACGATTGAAAAGCGCACATCCTCACCTTCTCCACTGTCATATTCTTGCCCATAAGATCAGTACCATTCAACGCAGTAATGGCGGCATCCGCCTCTTCGGGGGTCTCCATGGTCACGAACCCAAATCCGCGCGACTCACGCGTATGAGGATCATACATGACCTGAGCCTTCTTAATCTACTCAACCAGATGTAAGTGATATCATTGTGAGGAAAGCATCGCTTGGACGCACTCGTCCAACTTTTGCGAAGGCCGCCTCGAGATCACGAGTGTCGACCTTGTGGCTCAAGGAAGAAACGTGCAAATTGTTGCCCGGGTTGTTCGAGCCGTCACCTCGGCCGCTATGTTTCCAACATCAGCGCAAAGCAACCGAAATTGAAACATTTACGTACTTCCTGTCGTCACCGCGGGCGCCGGGGCTCCTGCTCCGACTCGATCGCCTGGGAGGTTCTCCGCGTGAGGGAGAGCGGCCGCCGCCGTTTGCCCATGGCTGCTCATCACCGCCGCCAACACCACTACCGCCGGTCAGGGCGGTGTCGTGGGTCGGAATGCTGATTCCGACGCCGTTGCCGGGAGGGGCCATGTCTTGAGATTGCCAGGCTGGTGATCAGAGGTGGAAGGGTGAAAAAGTCAGGGTCGGGTTATTGCGGCGTGTGGACGATGAGCGAAGCGAAGTGCAGACGTGACACGGATCGTGGGCTGGCGAGAGAACGACGCGCAAGAAAATGCAACGGAACGGAAACGACGCCATGGGAGAGGAAATGGACACGGCTACACGCGCGGAAATGGCGACGTCGAAGGCGCCGATGCTGCTGATGGCGGAAGAGGCCAGGAGCGTCGGGACAGCGCAAAGAGGGTAGTGTCGCATGCACAGGCCTTCAGCCGACAAGCGACAAAAGGAAGGAAAAGAGTCCACAAGCCGTGGAAAGGCGTCGGCTGCTGCGAACGTGGCGAGCAAAAGACGCAGCGACACAACACTAGTGCACAGGAAACGGCGGAGACAGGGTGAGGTGCCGGCAAGGCGAGCTCGTCGTCGTTGTCCTCGTCGTCGGGGCTGATGCTGAAGACGTACCGTCATCCATCGCTGTGAGTGTGTTGAGGGGGTCGACGAAGGGAAGATGGAGGTGGGAGAGACGTGACGGGGCCATCTGAGCTTTCATAACCGAAGATCTCGTCCAAACACGACCATACTGTCCGCCGCAGTCGAGTCCCTCGGTGCGCTTTCTTCTCACTCGGGAGGGCAGTTGAGCCCTCCAGGACGCAGCACACGGATGTGCATAAATCACGTAGGTAACTCGTATATTCATCGTATATGCACCGCTAAGAGAGACGAGGAAAGGGTGGCCGGAGCGAACCGGTTCGCTTGGGCGGCACGCGCTGATCCAGGCTCAGACTCAGTCCCGAAACGCGGCGGCGCCTGGTCGCGCCCTCCCCTCGTTTTATCCGCACCCATCGCCGTCGTTCTCCTCGTCCTTCACCGCCATTATCACCATGCGTGCCCAACTGGTCGCCTCTCTGCTCCGCGCCCGCCCCGCCGTCCGCCGCGTCGCGCCCGCGTTCGCGCGCCCCTCCAGCAGCAGCCACGGCGAGGAGGAGACGTTCGAGTCCTTTACGGAGCGCTACGTCACGTTCTTCAAGCAAGCCCAGGACCTCTTCGAGGTGCAACGCGGTCTGAACAACTGTTTCGCGCACGATCTCGTGCCCGCGCCCTCTGTCGTCGAGGCTGCGGTTCGTGCCGCCCGCCGTGTCAACGACTACGCGACCGCGGTCAGGATCTTCGAGGGCGTCAAGGAGAAGGTGGAGAACAAGCAGCAGTACCAGGCTTATCTCGATGAACTCAAGCCCGTGAGGGATGAACTTGGTCAGTCCTTTTCCTTGCGTTCGATATCGCGTTTGGTCTGACTTTAGATCCTCAGGTATTACCCTCAGAGAGGAGCTCTACCACTCATGAAAAAGAGGTGTATTGTTATTAGAGTACGTTACGATCACTATCTGCTCGTTTTCTGGTCCTCATGCCATATCAGTGTTGTGTTGGCGAAAAGACAATCATTGCATCGTTACATTACGCCGCTCTTTCGGACGCGGAATCTTGTCTATCAACATGTAAATGTGTTTTTATTGTCAACTTCACCGCGTCCTCCAGCCTGTACAGCGATTGGTGGTCTGAGCTCGGTTGAAGCCGCGTCCCTCACAAGCGCAACGCACTCCAAGATAGATGGAGTCGGGAATTGAGGCCATCACGCCATGGCCAGATAGACTCGCATCCAGACGAGCCTACGCCTTACGATTGCTCCTAAGCGAGGCGCGTTCTCCAGCCATGATGCAGGACTACCAGGTGACCGCATCACAAGCGTTAGGCCGTCGAAAATGCGCCAGTAGTGTTAGCATAGATCAAGCATGGAGTACCATAAGAGCTCGGTTCACAGCGCGCGATGCGCGAGGCAGAATCGACGACGACGGTCTCTCCCGATGTCTGTGAAGCTGAACCTATCAACGAGACGATCTGAGGGTCGGTTCGTCTATCACAAGCCGGTCTTATTCTCACGCGTACTATTCGTTCGCTACACTCCGCCGCCTACAGTGGCCTTCGCACCCTTTACACGTCTATACACTGCCGTTTACGATCTACTCTATTCTACACTCTGATGTCCGACGGAGCCAGCAATAGTATGTTGAAATGCATGCATCGTCGTGATCTGTCGTCCGATGTGCTGAAAGAGCGCTTCTGCCCTCAGACGAACGTCTTCTGGCTGCAGCGCGAGAGGACAATGAGGAGCTGCTACTGGAGGTGTTCGACAAGGGTAACTTCGATGTTAATTGCAAGGATGGGTGTGTGTTTGCATCGCTACAGCCTGGAGCTCTCTGGTCTGATAATCGTGGTCGTGTCACCTGCAGTCTAGGAAACACTCGTGCGCATCCTAATATCACCGTACAATGCTAGACGGCTAATCGAAACCATCGCTCATCCGGACTACACAGCCCTCCATTACGCGTAAGTATGTACTCTCCCCGCGTTCGCACCCTTCCAGCCAAGGCTCACGATCACACTTTTGCTCCTCATCTCTCTTAGAGCTTCTCGAGGCAATCTCACTGTCCTCGAGCACATCCTTTCACACGAAGAGTGCGATGTCGATCCGATCAACCGCATAGAGCGTGCGACGCCGCTGCATCTCGCACTTCGCCTGGAGGACGCTGAAGTGCGAAAGAGCGTCGCGGAGAGCTTGCTAGAGGCGGGAGCGGATATCACGTACGTCGTCGGCACCCATCTTAAGGCTCAGTACGTCAAGCTGATGAACCCGCCGTGTTGATGGATTGCAGGATCAAAGATAAGAACGGGGAAACAGCGTTCGATCTGTTGCGACCGGAGGACGAGGAGATTCGAGTGCTGATGCGCAAGGCGAAGGCGCAGACGAGCATCTCCAACAATGACATCGCTGAAGGTATGTGTGAGTTATAGTATTGGTTGATGTAGTTTCTGATATTTGTTTCCTGCAGACGACGATGACGAGCCTGGCTCTGACTCCGGCTCAGAATCTGATTGATCAATGGACAGGTTTTTGCTGGATTGATAGACTCACATGGGATTGACTTATAAAGCGGATAAGGGAAGTAGACCTACATGTACATTTTGAAGTTGGAATTGCATGGTGCTCGTCTCGTACTCATTCGATGATCGCGATTAGCCATGTTTCCACCTATTGGCGCGTAGCAGCACGTCTATAGATACATTGATATCACCCAGACCAACCAACCACGCCAGTCACCAGCACCTTATGGATATCAACACCATTTGCCACTCGCCCATTCCTTAAAAGTCGAGGTCTCCTTGAGCCAGGCAATCAACTCGTCCCGTCTCACCTTCACGCCCTTGTCTGTCGACTCGATCTTGACCTTCCTATCATCGACGAGCTCCCATTTCTGCTCCTTAACCGTGACGAGGCCCTCCTTGAGCTCGTCCCCACCGAGGATGACTGCGAACGGCACCTCGTCGCGCTCGCCCGCTGCAAACTGCGCGGGGAGCTTCGGCTTTTTCTTGAACAGGAAGTCCGTCTATAGGCGGAAAAGCAAAAGTCGACGTGAGCAAACACTAACAATCGAACGTGCATGCACGCAAAAACCCGACCTTGATCCCCGCCGCGCGCAGCTCCTGCACGAGCTCAACGCGCTCCGCGAGCAGCCCGTCGCCCGCCGCCATGACATACACCATCGTCTCCTTGCTGCGCATGCCCTTCGCGACCCACTTCGGCCACACGAGCGCAAACACGCGATCGAGCCCGAAGCTCACGCCGACGCACGGCAGCCCCGCGGTCTTCTTCCCCTCTCCCGCCGCGGCCGCGGTGAACAGCCCCACGAGGTTGTCGTACCGCCCACCTGCGGCGATCGAGCCGACCCCGACCTGCGACTCGTCGATCTCTTCCTCTTCCTCGTCCGCAGGGGCCTTTTTGGACTTTTTCTTGGGAGCGGGAGCGGGGGGAGCGGAGGAGGGCGTGCAGGAGGAGGGGAAGGCATCGGCGGGTGTAAACCCGGGCGGTGCGGATGCCTCAACGATGGCTTCATAGATGATGCCAGTGTAGTAGTCTAGACCTCGCGCTAGCGAGAGGTCAAATAATAGCTGGATAGTGGAAATGAGAGCGCAGCGAGGCTAATCAACGAAGCTAGACGTACCTTGTCAATGACCTTGTAGGATTTGAGGTAGGTAAAGAGGATGCCCATTTCTTCGATACCGAGTTTGGCGTGAGCGTTGGCCATGAGAGCCTCGTCTGCCCGGAGTCGCGCAAGCAGTTCAGGCCCGCCTGGCAGCAGTGTCAGTTACAGCCTACGATATCTGAAGGGACAGCTTACCTTTATGCTTCACGTACTCTCCAATTTTATCAGCGACAGCAGCATCGAGGCCTTTCTCGTCCGTCATTTCTTTCTTGACCTCTATCCAGGGAAGCTAGCACAATGCATTTAGCTTGCAGCAGGGTGGTGGAGAGTCGGTAAGGATCTACCTTGTCCAGCTTGTCAACAGCAGAGGAGATTGTCCGGATCTTTTCTTCTGGGACGCCGCAGACCTCAAAGATGCCGTCTAAGATTTTTCGGTGGTTGATCTAAATTCGAGTCAGTTGGGTGAACGACAGAATAATTCAAACAAGGTACTCAACCTTGACCGTAAACTCGCCGACGTCGAGTCGCGTCATGATCGTACATAGAAGGCTGACAAGTTCGGCGTCGGGTATCATGGGGTCCCATACACCCGCGATGTCAAAGTCCTGCAACACATCTTTGGTCAGAACTACAGTTACTGACCGAATTGACTAATTGGACATACTCACAGCTTGTGAGAACTCCCGCATCCGCCCTTTCGACATCACCGGATTGTCTCGTCGGTACACTTTCCCGACCTGCCAGAGCTTCGCTTGTGCGCTGATGGCACCATTCATAGCGAGGTATCGAGCGAGCGGGACGGTGTGGTCATATCGCAGTGCCAGCTGCTCTCCTCCCTGATCCATCAAGTCGAAGATGAGCTTCGCGTCCTCGCCGTACTTGCCGGCGAGGATGTCTTTGCGCTCGAAGACGGGCGTGTCGAGGCAGCCGCCGCCGTATGTGGTGAAACATTCCTTGACGATGCGCTCGATGTGTTCCCTACAGAACATCTCGCTCGGGCCATAGTCGCGTGTGCCCTGCAGCGAGAGAGATCACAGGCGATCTGCGTGAGCTTGAGTGTCGGGATGCTAGTACGTCAGGACGAACGCACCTTTGGAGTCTTGAGCAGCATCCGCTCCTTCCTCTTTCCCGAGTCCCTTGCACCAGACGCATTTTGCAGGACTGCTTGAGCCCTCTGAAGGTCTGCCAATTTCTTCTTTGCCTCGTCAAGCAGCGCAGCATCTGCCCGCTGTTTGCGGAGGTCGGCGAGCAGCGCCTTCTGCTGGGCGATCTCTTGGTTCAGCGACTCAGCGCTGGGTGTCGACATGTTCCGTGCGCGGCTGATGCGTGGTATGAGGAGAAGGGGGAGTCGATGGCGGCGAAGAGATGCGCGCAGAGCGAGGGCGAGCATTCAAATAAAGTCGCACGTCAATTCCGTTCAAACCTGACTCGATCGCTCTGATCACTGATCTCATCGCTTGTGTGATCGTTTCACTTTCATCTCATCCGAGTGATCAACTCCGTTTGCGAGCACAATGACTTGAAGAATTTCCTCACCAGGAATTCGTATTTTCATTGTCGCCGAAGTCTTCACTTTTTACGACGAACGTTTAAAACTGCCCAGCTGATCTCTGCTATGTAGTGTGCCACACACTGTAGGCAAATTCCGCGACGTTCATTTGAGGAGTTCATCTGTCCCATCAATTTCCGGTGCACCACCAATTTGTAACGATGAGTTATAATACACACGTCCTTGGCCAGGATGTGCTGGTTGCACAGACTCGGATCAGCGACCGTTTGATGGTCAGCTTGGTCCGTCCCTTCGCTCCAGATGCCTTAGTGCAACCTGATAACAACACATCTTCTCTGTCAAATGGCCTCGCTTGAAAGCAGCGATCGACGGTCTGGCTAGTGAAACGGAGTACCTGCCAACGCTGATTCTATGATGCTGCTTACTTCGATATGTACGAGGTTTTGAGAATAATATATGCAGCTTCCTCGCACATCGTCGCTGACCGGATTTCATGGCTTGTAACAGTCTGTTTTTGCGCAACATTGATGCTCTCCAAGCATCGAACTACTAAAGTGTCCGTGACTCTACATGACTATTCCGGCTGATCACCATCCGACAGGATGGACGAAGTCTCTACCACAGTAATAAAATGTTGAAATCTCCCACAGTATCCACAAAATGAGTATTCCCATCAAATACCGACATGTATAAAAGGGACCCATGAAAATGATTTGCCATCTGACTTCGTATAGTTTTCACGCAATCGTTTGATGCCATGATGCAGAGCAAGAGCAGCTTCGCTGCTGTCGGGATCTGGCCTGGACAGCAGCCGGCGGTACACCTCCTCCGCCACTAGAGGCGCATCGCGATCCAGGATCGACCACATCGTAGCTATGACGCTCCTATATCCAGCAGCCAACATGCCTGCGGCAAGATGGGCGGCTTCCTCTTATTGTCCGAGGTGAAAATTTACGAGGGCTGTAGACACATAGGAA